CCCCCCCCCCCCCCCCCCCCCCCCCCCCCCCCCCCCCCCCCCCCCCCCCCCCCCCCCCCCCCCCCCCCCCCCCCCGCACCAAGGGGCAGCACGACACAGACGTGCAACCGAGACACCTCTTGACTGACCTCGTGTTAATATCATTGAATAGCCGAGACTGAAAAGCCGAGACCCAATGACGCTAATCTCAGTTGCCATATCAGCAGCGATTCTTTTCCCAATGGCAAACGGCAAAGAGGGCACCGCCGCTGGACATACGGTCCTGTCCAGCTAAGTAGATCGTGAAGGTGTGGTTGAAGTCCTGGATCTTGTTAGTCCAGCCTTCACGTTTCGCACATTGTCTCCATGCGGAACTTCCAATGGGGCAGGGATGACTTGTGTGCTCCTAGAACATGGGTTATTGGGTTTAGTTTAGTACTAGCGAGGTGATCCGGCCCAATGCCCGATCGAGAGAGCCGCTTTGTGGTAGATCTTGACGACGATCAACCAACCTTCCAATAGTACAAGTATTCTTGTGGAAATAGTTGGCAATATTGACACTCCCGTCGCAAATAGTATTGGCAATACATTGATTGCGCCCATTCATGAGCCTCCCACGTCTGCTGCATGGCGTGAAGGTTGGCGTCGTGCACGCATCCAGTCAGTTGGTGGAGGACAACAACGTGATGGCCTTTCGAGGCAGGCCCAGTGTTCAGCTTTTCGGACTCGCAATGTGGGCCGCAAGCTAATCCCAACTGAACCTGGAGCTGCAACGCTTCTATGTCGAGGCTGCGTCGCGTTGCGCGTGTACCTGACGCGGGCCCATCCCCGTTGGGGTGACAGCCGAAGTGAGCAGGTCTGGCCAACGGCACTGCTGGCTCGGCCATGCACCATGCTGAGGATGAAATCTCAGATGCGGCTTATTGACCCAGTAACATGTTCTTGGCTCGTAGGACTACCGTATCTCGTCTCGCTGGGCTAGAGCGGCGGGGGCCACAACGTGGACGACGTCCGATGCGGAATAGCGAGGTTTCATTTACAAATGGTCTCGCAGGCGCGTAGCTGTGCACGTTGGGCTGGATCCCAAGCTGCTCCGTATATATTGCTCGTCGACGGACCGCTGGACCTGGTTCTGGCCTCGTCAACTCTCACCATGGATCAGTTCTGGAGATCAGAGGCGTCCTCGCCAAGTGACTCAGTGCCCAGCTCGCCCCCTACCACGCCCGACTCCAGGTCAGAGTACGGTGTCGACCACTCGTTGAACTCGGAGTTCATTCTCGTCATTGGCGGCCTCGGCTTCATCGGCTCGCACACTTCCCTGGAGCTGTTGAAAGCCGGCAAGAGTGTGATCATTGTGGACGACTTGTCCAACAGCTACGAAAGCGTCTTCACTCGCATCCAGACACTCGCTGCCAAGCACTATCATGGCAACCGCCAAAAGATGCCCGCTCTTCACTTCCACAAGCTGGACTACCGCAGCCCGTCGATGGAGTTTCTCCTGGAATCCTACTCGGAATGGAACACGTTGACCAGCGTCAGCCTCACGCCGTCCACGGCTCAGAGCAAGACGTCCAAAATCAAGGGCGTCATCCACTTCGCAGCCTACAAGTCCGTCTCGGACTCCATCGCCTCGCCCATCGCCTACTACCGCAACAACGTATGCGGGCTCGTGGACCTCGTGGAGCTCCTCGGCAAGCACAACATTCGCAACTTTGTCTTTTCGTCTTCGGCCACAGTGTATGGCACCAAAGCCGACCTGGGTCGACCTCTTCGAGAGGAAGACTTGGTACATCATCCCGAGACGTACACAGATGGCGAGGGCTCTCCTGTCACGGCGGAGCCTGTCGTGGCCGGTCTTCAGAGTCCGTATGCGCGGTCCAAGTACTTCTGCGAGGCTATTCTTGCCGACATTGCGCACGCCGACCCGGCTTGGCGCATTGTTGCGCTGCGCTATTTCAACCCCATTGGCTGCGATGCGTCAGGTCTTCTGGGCGAGGATCCCAAAGGCACACCAACCAATCTCTTCCCCGTCATTACGCAGGTGTTGACGGGAGCTCGCGAACAGCTCGATGTCTTTGGCACAGATTGGCAGACGAGAGACGGCACCGCAGTTCGCGATTTCGTCCACGTCTCTGATGTCGCACGCGGGCACGTGTCCGCGCTGGCGTCCAAGCATGATGATGCTTTTCGGACGTTCAATCTCGGATCCGGTACGGGCACCACCGTCATCGAGGCCGTGCGCAGTCTGGAGGCGGCTGCAGCGCAACCAATTCCGGTGAGCTGGGCAGGGCGACGTGCAGGAGATGTCGGAAGCTGCGTGGCATCCAATGAGCGGGCTTTCAAGGAGCTCGGCTGGACCACCAAGGAGAGTATTCCGCAGTGCGCCCGAGACCTGTGGAACTACGTCTCAAAGGGGAGGGCTCACAGTTGAGGTGACCGTCTGAGGTCCATTGTTTCTTTTGCTGGCATAATCAAACAGGCGTTCAAAAGGGTTGCGGAGACAGGCAAAGCTGCTAATTAGTAATGAATAACTGAGGCACGATGATTGACTACACGTACGTGCTCATGGTGAACAGATCGACGTGACGCGTGAACGCAGTTGGTGAGGTGAGGTGGAAGCTTGTGCAATAGCATGTGATCATGGCTGACTGACACGCGGGCACGTGACAATTCGGGGGCTTTCCTTTGGTGCTTCTGCCGTGCTATCACGATTCATGACCTGACATACTCCGTACTCGCACAAACCTACCTTACCCGCCCAACTAATGTGGGACGACAGAACTCGTCGTCGTACGCTTGAAATGACTTGTTCAGCATCAATGGACACATTACATAAAGTGCACCGACCGTCGATGCTGGACGCGGCTTCTGACCTGACTTGACCTCAAACTCGCGAGAGCACCCACCACACCTGAGAATCCAGGACTACGGAGTACCTAGGCACAAAATAAGCGATGCCGCCCTGCAGAGCCACAAAAGAGTTGCACCGTACGGTTGGTTTCTTGTCAGACACCACAGTGGAGTCGCGGACCAAAGCTGCAAAGCACGCAACATCTGAGACATGCATCGCATCTGCCGCTCCGAAAGGGGAGGGGGGGGGGAGGGGCGTGTCTGTATGTCTTGGACTGAGATCTAGCCCCATCTCCTGCGGATCGTTTCCCTCCTCTCAGCCTTGCCCGCCTTCTCTTGGTACAGCCCATACCACTCTGATTATAACTCTAAAGTCTATTGAACCTTACGGTGAACTGCGGCCTAGAGAGACAGACAAACTCCGCCCACCATGGCTCTGCAACACATCATCGTGCCACTCTACATCTATCCGGAAGAACGAGCGTGGGCGCCCCTGGCCGCGGCAGCGAGAAGACACGCCAACATCAACTTTCTCGTCATCATCAATCCAAACAATGGCCCGGGCGAGGGACCGCTGCCTGACGGGAGCTACACGGCTAGCCTGCATCAATTGCAGAGCATCCCAAACATTCAGCTCCTAGGCTACGTGCACTGCACCTATGGACGGCGGCCGCTCGAGGACGTATGCAGGGATGTCGACCGCTACTACAGCTGGAACGCGCAGCTGCTGCGCGTGGACGGCATTTTCATCGATGAAGTCCCCTCGGCTGCGGAGGCAGTGCCCTACATGGCGCATCTCGCTGGGCACGTCCGCTCCGTTTGGACGTGTCACTCGACGGTGGCGAGTGGCGTGTTGGTGTTCAATCCCGGCGTGGTGGTGGACACGACCTTGGTCGAGCTAGCGGACTACGTGGTGGCCTTTGAGCAGGCGCACGAGCAGTGGAGGGTGCTCAGGGGGGAACATGAAGCGCTCCCTCGCGAGATCTGCCGTAAGGCTCTAGCCATTGTCCACACCACCACCAGCGAGGACGGTAGCCTAGAAGAGGTGCTGCAGGATGCCAAGGGCGCAGGGTTTGCGGGGGTCTACATCACCGATCAGCACGGGGGGGGCTTCACGAGGTGGCCAGCGCAGTGGGACAAGTTTGTACAATTGCTGAGCTACGATCAGACAGCTCGGGAGGAGACATGATTCTCCCCTCTCTGAGAGTCTGCTACGTTGGGTGCCTCAATCCTGCACCTTGGAGGTGTACGTCTTGCCATCGCAGTATTCCACCCAGCCGTCCAGTATCATCTTCTTAATGACCTTGCTGAACCCCTCCGAGCCAGTCGCATCACCCTCGGTGGAGCAAATCTCGCCAGAGACCTTGGCGGTCACCTTGTCGGGGGCGCCACTGGGATACTCAATGTTGAAGACGGGCTTGTCGGCGTCGACAAAGTCGGCAAAGGTGTCGCACTCGGCGTACTCGACGCACTGCTCGTTGACGGAAAAGTCGATAAAGTCAATCACGTCGGGGATGATCTCGCCCGCGTTCTTGAGGCCAATGGCCATCTTGTGAGACTGGGCCTCCTCGGCCATGAAGCGCATAAAGTCAACAGCGTCGTCCGCCGTGAGTCCGAGGCCGTTCTCGTTGTTCTGTGAGGTGACGAGTCAGTGTATTGTTGAGTGCAGGTCATTTGGTATCCCCGCCAACTTACGTAGCCATCTACGTTGTCTGGATCAATGGCATCACAGCCCTTCCTCCAGGCCAGCTCGATGCGTCCCTTGATAATGTCTCTGACGCCAGGGCTCGACACGTTGGCCCATCGCTCGTCGGGCCAGCCGTCGAGCTCGTCGCCCAAGTCAGCCTCGTCCCAGTCGTCCTTGTCGTCGCGCCAGTTCTCCCACGAACCGGCGCTGAAGTAGCAGATGACCTTTTTCCCGGCATCCTGCAGCATGCGAAAGGTCTCCTTGTCATTGTCGTAGAGGTCCAGATCGTACACGGCGACGTCAGGGTTGATGTCGTCTGTGGACTGCAAATCGAGGGGGTACTTGAGAATAATTTGCCACGAGTCACCAACCTTTGGCTTCCAGGTTTCGTCCCTGTCGGGGCCATCCTCGGGCACGCCATCAGTGTCGTCGCCGCCGCCGCCGCCGCCGCTGTTCTGGTCGTCGTCTCCACCATCATCGTCGCTGCCTCCGCCGCGAGTGAGGCCGACGCCCAGCCCAACGGCGAGCGCAACGACTGCGACAATGGCGACAACGGTCACGATGAGCTTCCTGCGCAGGGACCACGACTTTGGGGGGGGCTTCTCCATTGCAGCGACGTGCTCGTTAGCCTTGCCCAGCATGGTTGTGTTCAGGAGGGCGCTCAGAGTACGAGGAAGAGGAGATGGTGTTCCGGGGATGATCTATCTACCAAGGGGCGACGAAAGTCATGTTGGAGTTGACTGTTGTGCAGATCAGATCGGAGGATTTGGCACAGCCCCTGGGTGGCAGGGCTGACAGGCAGGCTGCGAATCCCCATCTGGGTGATGCGAGGGTCTAGATGCAGTGGAAGCGGTAAGACGGCACCAATCCTGCCTTGGCTTTGTGACAGGCCTCATGTTCTCGCTACGTAACACTGAACATGTCTGGGCGATTTCATTTGGTTGGTACCTCGCCAAGTCGCCAAGTCGCCAAGTCGTTTAGCAAAATAAGCTACTAGATTAGGGGTCTACGTAGCGGCCTAGTTGGCACTTTTCCCAAACAATCTAAAGTTCTCGGGCAGAGAGGGGACCCTGAACGATCGACCCACGCTTCGGCTTCGGGCTTTCACGACTCCACGAGCGGGATGATCAGGCGGAGGTTTTGTGCAGGACAGTCAATCACAAGCCACTCCCGCCGGTCCCTCCGGAATTATGCAGGTCTCAGGTGAGGCCCCTGCAACGCTACGCACCCACCCTGAAGTCCCCAAATAGGGACTCAATCGCGACTACACGTATGTGCGGCGTTTTCAGGCACTGACATGATTGACGCACATGTACCTCCGTACGTATAGGCCTAGCCGCCCGAGAACCAGGGACCAGACCACCCCGCTGTTTGTCCAGGCCGATCTGGACTCTCCTAGGGCTCAATCCGACTTGGTGGAACGGACTGCCGCTGGGCGATGGGCAAATTGGGAGGAGCTGATGAACTCATTGTTAGTGTTCGCAGAGTACGTGTACGCAGCCTTGACGCATGGTGCTCCGTGGTACTCTCGATACGGTCATCAACTCTGCTCAACTCAATTATCTTTTTTTTGCGCCGTGCTCGGCGTCACACACGTAGTGTTGGCAATGTCCATTACATGAGGTACGTATACATGGGCACGCCACCATGGTCGGCAAAGCAAGGTGTGCCCGTCTGCCCCATCTGCGTGCCGCAGATCCACGAGCACATGGAGACTAGAATCCTGGGCGCCCCGACTTTTCTCGATACGGGCCTTCTCCAGTCTGCTTGTACATACGTACCGGAACCCAAGGCGAGCCAGAGGGGGGACCTGAGACACTGGTGAGCTGTCTGCGCATCAGCCAACACCGATCCTGACCCTGATCTATGCTCATTGCAAGTACTAGTGTATGTACTATTAGTGGAATACGAGGTCGTGCCTGCAATGCAGATGCAAGCCAGACCACGTCGCGCGACTCGCGCACGCCGACCGAGGGAGGAGGCACTACGGATAGCCCTCGCATATCGAGATGTCGTGTCCACCAGGTTCATGTTGCCACCAGCGGACAGATCATCGCCTGCCGGGGAGACGCGATCCAGCGCTGGCCATCGTGTGGAACACGCCTGCGTGGCTCCATGCAAGTCTGATCGTCTCAGACGTCTTAACTAGGCCTGGTCAGATCCGGACACTTTGCTTTTTTGCGCCATCCCGCAGCGCCATGGATTCACGTTGACCACATCACGCGCCCTTACCAGACTTTGGTGCTTGACTCACCGTTGAGAACCTGGGATGGAAACGCATCGGGAGCGTGCCACTTCCGAAATAGACTGAGCTGAAGCTTGCCGTGGCTGGCCTGGATGAGTTGTTCCACCCACCTCTTGCTCTAGAGAGGCTCTGGAGAGGCCATCTGGTGGATGCCAAGGACGCCATGCTATGTCCTTCTTTCTGAAGCCTCTTTCGTTAGCCTCTTTCGTTGAGAAAAAAAAAATTGAGGAGACGGCCGTACGGCTGAGCTCTGCCATGATCAGTTCTTCGTCCAGCTGAATGTTTTAAGAAGGACTGCGTGCTCCGAACAGGATCCCTCAGTCCATAGCATTCTGCCAACCATCTCACTGGTTTTGATCGCGCGGATTCTAATCAGTGTCCCTCAAACATGTTGTCCCCTTTTACCTTTTATCGGGTGACTCTCACCCTAGGATGTCTTCTCGGCCTCCTCAACCCTTCATATGCCGCGCCAGGGGCCACCGTGGACAGCAAGGTGCTGATCCTCGCACGAGACAGTTATTCTGCGTCCACGGCTAGTTCAGGCCTGGAAGGCTATGGCATCCCGTTCGAGACTGTCCTTGTTCCCAAAGAGGGCATCACCTTGCCCGGCTTGACGAGCTCGAGCACCGCCGGCCGCTACGGCGGCATCATCGTCATGGGCGCCGTGTCCTATAACTACGACGGCTCGTGGAAAAGCGCGTTGACCACGGCGCAGTGGGACGAGATACACGAGTACCAGACAGATTTCCACGTCCGCCTCGTTCGCACCGACGAGTATCCTGGACCAAGCTTCGGTAAGAGCCTCCTGCCGTCAAGGAAGTCGACGTCAGCTCACAGTCTTTCACAGGTGCGTCGATAGCTTCGGGCGGTGGCTGCTGTGCCAGCGGTGTTGAGCAGCTTATCAGCTTCACCAACACCACGGCCTTCCCAACGGCGAACCTCAAAGCGTGAGTCCTGTCCCCCCCACACGCACACCACTGTCCACGTCTCGAGGCTGACTGGATACCCCTCCAGAAATGCTGGCATTACCACCGCAGGCCTCTACCACTACCCGGCCACCATCACCGACCCCGATACCACCTGGGAGATTGCCAAGTTTGGTCCCGGCGGAGCGCAGACCGGGGACACAACCGCTGCTGTCATCAACAACTTTGACGGCCGCGAGCAGCTGGTCTGGTTCACGAGCTGGGCGACCGACTGGTCCGCCACGTCCAACTACCTCCAGCACGCGCACATCCACTGGATGACCCGCGGTCTCTTCCTCGGCAAGCGCAAGATCCACCTGAGCGCGCAGGTGGACGATGTGCAGCTCTCGACGGGACTCTACCTGCCCGCGGGCCAAGAATTCAAGTGCCGCATCGGTGACCTCGAGGCTCACGTGGCCTGGCAGCAGGACATCAACGGCCGTCTCCCCGCCGGCTCCGACTTTTGGCTCGAGATGGGCCACAACGGCAATGGCGACATCATCGCCGCCACGGACCCCGACGATGAGTCGGACGAGATCTGCATCCCCGACTACGCCGTCAACTACGAATCTCCCGAGGACACCCCCCTGGAGTTCAAGAAGGTCCCTGGCACGGGCGAGGACCTGTGGCCGCCCGAGTTTGAGGAGTACGGTTGGAGCAAGGAGTGCGCCGACCTCGACGACTTTGCCGCCTGGTGGCTGAACAAGGCCAACCTGAACGCCTTTGCGCACGTCTCGCACACCTTTTCCCATCTCGAGCTCAACAACGCCACGTACCACGACGCCTCGCGCGAGATTGCGTTCAACCAGGCGTGGATGGCGCAGATGGAGATTGACCAGGCGACGCGGTTCTCTCCCAAGGGTCTCATCCCGCCGGCCATCACCGGTCTTCACAACGCCGACGTCCTCCAGGCGTGGGCGGACAATGGTCTGCTGTACGCCATGGGGGACAACACGCGTCCGGTCCTGCGCAGCGCCGACAGCGCGTTCCACCCGCGGCTCACCACTGTCGCGGGCAACGGCTACGCCGGTGTCGTCATCGTGCCTCGCTACGCGACGACCATTTACTACAACTGCGACACGGCGGCGTGCACGGTGCAGGAGTGGATCGACACCTCGGCCGGCGCGGGCGACTTTGACGACCTCCTGCGTGACGCGCGCGCTACCAACACTCGCTACCTACTCGGTTTGCAGGCCGACCCCTACATGTTCCACCAGGCCAACTTGCGCCAGACGGACATGCCCAGCATCACCGTCGGCAGCGAGACGGGCAAGATGTCCATTCTCATGGCGTGGGTCGAGACCGTTGCCCAGGAGATGGTCCGCCTGACCGACTGGCCCATCACGTCGCTCAAGCACGACGCCATTGGCGACTACTTTATGGACAGGATGACACTCGACGGGTGCGACCCCCAGCTGTCCTATGCGTACTCGGCCGATGGGAGTGCGATTGAGTCGGTCACCGTGAGCACGGATGGGAACAGCTGCGCTGTGCCTGTGCCTGTGACGATCCCCGGGGGGCAGGCTTCGGCCAGCGGAGGTCAGGTATCTGCTGACCAGGTTGGCAGTGAGCCGACGATTTACTGGGTGACCATGGACGGCTCGCCCGTGACCCTGTCCTTGAGCGAGGCGGTCAATTTCTGAGCTACTTTAGTCAATTGGATCTGTATTTTCAATCATGAACCATACTGCGATGTCCAACTGACCACGAGGACCGTCATCCAGCGTAACATGCCCGATTTGCGCGTCACATTAACAGCATGACAATCTCTACATGCCCACTGGTGGTTTGGCCGACGAAACGAGGTTGCACCGTGCTAAACACCAGAGTATCAGGAGCATTATGCACATAGGTGTTTTCCGGCCAATCCTTTGTCAGCAGCATACTCCAGAGACAAGTTCGCTCGTGGGAAAGGCCGCAAAGACGGCACCTGAGACTGGATGCTGTCTCGCTGTCGTTCGGGAATCGCGCGATTACCAAGGCGCTGAATCAGAAAGTGAATAAACATGAGACCGTGCTGCTCGACCATACTACTTAGCCCAAGGGGCCGAGAGTGCATGCGAGGCAATGATGTTACCCTCGACAGAGGAGACGCGTGGCCGCAGCTGAGCATCGAGCGCCCAGGCCAGGCCAGGCCAGAAACATGTGACGGGTTGACTCTGTGGCAGTGATGGCTCCCTCGTTGGTTTGCGTGGCCAAATAGACTTTGTTGATGTCTTGAACCAGAGTCAGCATCAAGATAGAGGTGAGACCAGGCATGCATGCGCAGTGCAGGCTGCCGCAAGTTGAGCGCAGCACTGCAGCTTTGGGCATTTGACATGTCTACACCAATGCCAAGGTCGCGTGTCTCATCCGAGTCATCCCACAGACCCGACATTTGTCGACAATGGTGGCTGACGCATCAAAGACATTGACGATCAACCCCCATGACGATCCCCCAACATGAAGGCAATTGGACTCGGTAGAGTCCCTGAGACAGACTCTGCCGAGCCTCCATCGGCCGCAACTGGCGTACACAACTCTCCGCCCGCCGATCGATAACGACGGCCACTCTGGGACACGTGGTGTTTCGCGGCTGTCGTGGTGACCGTGCAATGCGCTGTGATCTGGCTGCTGGCTGGTGCAGCGGCGAACTGGCTGGGAGGCGACGGCTATTTCGAGCTATCGAAACCTTGAGCTATCGGTGGACGATGGCGCAGACGTTTTGTTGATGCCACTGTCCATCAATGATCAATGCGCGTGTCGAGGCGCGTCGAGACTCAAGAGACAAAAGGCGTTTCGCCCTATTGAAAGAGAACCCCGTACAAGTCGCAGGTGGAACGGGGTCCGAGGGGTTTTCTGTGGGCTTTGATTGGCCGCATTGGGCAGAAAATGCTTTTTAGCGGCCCAATTTAAGCTAAATATGCTAAAATAAGCATAACGCCAATACAATGCCCTCCAGCTTTCAGCCGCAGTGCTGCCAACAGAGACTGACTTCACTGACGAGGGGATGCTCGCCCTCATTCCGGACGTGGGACGGGCTGGTCGGCGTCATAACCGTCCTGTGTGACACCGGGACTTCAAGAAACAGTCGTGAGACAGCCTCGCCCATCCGGCCAGGACAGCCTTGGCACCACCCGCCAACGACTGGATCCGTGGTGGCCAGGAGGGCGTGAGGGATGTGGGCTCGCCGTGACATTCCAACTCCGTCCGTACACTACCTCTTGCGGACTGCCCGCCAGCCTGAGCGATTAAATTGCCTCAGCGCCCTAGGCTCCGTTCCCCTTCCACCAATCCTACCACTACGTAATCAATCATTCACGTTCTCGCTCTCCCTCACCACCAACCCGTGCGATCCGTATATCCTCATCAACCATCCGTCGCCTCGATCGTGTTCGTCTGCTCGCTCCCATCGCCTCGCCTCCCCCGCTCGCTGGTTCACCACCCAGCACGGCCAAGCCAAGCGCGCTGCAAATTTCGCTGCTTTCGCCACGGTTCCCAACTCCCAGATCCTACAAGTCGGCCGGCCGGCTTGAGGACCACCCGCATTCACCATGCCTGTCCTGGACCTGAGCGAGCTCAACATCATCCTTGGCGTGTTAGGTGGCTTCATCCTCTTGTACGGCATCATCTCGATCAAGATCAAGGCCAAATGGTATCTTGGTGAAGCCCGTACGTACCAGCAGCCATGTTCTCCTCCCCCGTCTATGCTGCTGCTGACACCCACCACCAGTCCCGGCCGTCGTCATCGGCATCCTCCTCGGTCCTATAGCGGCCAAGTTCATCGAGACGGAGAAATGGGGTAGTGCAGAGCCCGGGCAGACCAACGAGGTCACGCTGGTATGTGCCATCCAGCGAGACACGCGCGCGTGTCACTTGCCAAAATGTGTCCACCAATGCTGACTGCAAATAGGGTCTGATGAGAGTCATGATCGGCGTCCAGCTGGTCATCGCCGGGTACCAGCTGCCCGCCAAATACCTCGTTCTGCGCTGGAAGGAGATGCTTCTCCTCCTGCTCCCCGTCATGACCATCATGTGGCTCTCTACCACCCTCTGCATCCTCGCCACCGTGCCCAAGCTGACCCTGCTCGCCGCCCTCGTCATAGGCTCCTGCGTCACCTGCACCGACCCCATCCTTTCCCAGGCCATCGCCAAGGGTCCCTTTGCCGACAAGTACGTCGCACGTCCCCTGCGTGAGATCATCTCCTCCGAGGCCGGTGCCAACGACGGCTTCGGCTTCCCCTTTCTCATGCTCGCCACGTTCCTCATTCGCCACGCCAACGTCCCCGGCGCCGGCGAGCATGGTGCCGAGGTCGAGTTGGAGGACCGGGCGCACCAGCCTTACCATCTCCTTGCGCGTGCCGGAGCGACCGTCGCCTCGGAAGGACTGCGTCTCATGGGCCGCAATGAAGAGGAAGTCGGTCGTCTGGGTGGCGGTGTCGGCGTGGCCATGCAGAACTGGTTCATCGAGACGTGGATCTATCAGATCCTCATGTCCGTCGCCATCGGTGCCATTGTTGGCTTCGGCGCGCAGTTCGCCCTCAAGTTCGCCCTGAAGAGGTAAGCCTTGTCTCGCTCTCTCTCTGTTTGCATCATGCCCCCCAGACCCAATCACTGACATTTCTTCTCCCTTGCAGGAAGTGGGTCGACGCTGAGAGTTACCTCCTCTACCCCTTGGCCATCGGTGTAAGTCTCTGAAACGACAACGTCTTCCGCGACGATGAAACTAACATTGCTCTCTTTAGCTCTGGCTCCTCAGCATCTGCGGTCTCGTTGGCACCGACGATCTCCTCGCCTGCTTCGTCGCCGGCAACGCCCTCAATTGGGACGGCGAATTTCTGAGGGAGACAGAGGAGCGCCACGACGAGGTCAACTCCGTCATAGACGTCCTCCTCAACTTTGGCGGTTTCATGTACATTGGCGCCATCATGCCCTGGTCCGAGTTCAACTCCCCCGACACGACGGGCCTGACCTGGGGCCGTCTCGTCGGCCTCGGCTTCCTCGTACTCTTCTTCCGCCGCATCCCCGCCATCTTCATCTCGTACAAGCTCATGCCCAACGTCTGCCAAAACTGGAAGGAGGCTCTCTTCATGGGCTATTTTGGTCCTATTGGCGCCGGCGCGGTCTTCTACGTCGAGCATACCCGCCATCTCTTCCCCGAGCTCGGCGAAGGCGACGAGGAGGAGACCAATCTCGTCCGCGTCATGGCCCCCGTCGTCTACTGGCTCGTCCTCTTCTCCATCATCGTCCACGGCCTGTCCATCCCCGGCCTGAACCTCCTCTACCAGTACTTTGACGTCGACCCCATCCAGGACGACGCCATCGAGATCCGCCGCAAGTCCATCCACGATGCCACACCCGCCAACGCCATGGTCGGCGACGAGGAGAACTTTATCGCCTACAACCGCTTCTCCCGCCCCGTCTTCAATGTTGCCGACCTTCCCACCGTCCGCTCCCGGCGCCAGTCCCTTGCCACCGAGCATGCCCGCTCCAGGTCGCGCTCCCGGCTTTCCCTCGCCCGCTCCAGGTCGCGTGACGTGGGCCGTGAAAGCGTCCCCTTCCCCGTTCCCATGCCGGAGAAGAGTCGCGACGACACCTTCCGGCACTCCGGCTCCGACGATGAGGAAGCTGGGAATCGTGCCGCGCCTTACAAGCGAGGACGCACCATCCAGTACGCTGTATAGGGGCAGTCGTTCTGGCTGGGCATGTCCAGTGCCTCTGGTCGGATTGGTGGGCAGGTTCCTGCAAAGACGGCTGGCGGTGTGTGAATGAATGAAGAAAGCCGAGGTATAGGACTCGTACAATTTTGTTTTCTTTCTTGTTTTTATTGGTTTTCAGCATTTTAAAGCGCGGCGCATGGTACACACATACGATACACGATTTCATATATAGATAAAGCTACTTGTATTCAATCCACAAACGCCTATATGCAAAGTGAGCCCCCTGGACCCCTCATCATGACGACCCAGTGGTCAGCTCCTCCACCTTGGCGGTCAAGTTGTCCACAACGCCATTGGTCTTCTCCGGAGACTCTGTCTTGGTTGCGGTACCATTCTCCACAGGCGCCGCCGCGGGCGTCAGGGACTTTTGCACGGGAGGGTTCAAAAGGTAGTTGGAAGGGATCAGCTTGGAGCGCGCGGCCGGGTTCAGCGTGAGTCCGAAGCCGGGCTTGTCAATGTCCGCCGTGGTCAGGTACCCCTTGGTGGGGATGGGCTCGTCGATGAAGAGGTCGCCAAAGACGGGCAGCACGCTCTTGCCGTCGGGCGAGTTGGCGAGGTACTCTTGGAACGGCGTGTTGGGCTGCGAGAAGACAAAGTGGTAGCTGTAGGGCCCGCTGGCGTGCGGCACGACGGGGATGTCGTAGGCCGCCGCCAGGGCCGCCACCTTGAGGAGCTCAGTCAGACCGCCGAGCCACATGACGTCGGGCTGGATGATGTCCAGGTTGCGTCCCTCCACGAGCTTGCGGAATCCGAAGCGCGAATACTCGTGCTCGCCCGTGGTGAACTTGACCGTGGGGTGGGCACGCTTGATCTGAGCGAAGCCGTCCGTGTCATCGGGCGACAGGCACTCTTCCCACCAGTTGATGTTGAGATCCTCACACGCCTTGACGAGCTCAATGGTGTACGACACGTTCAGGCTCATGTAGCAGTCCACCATGATGGGGAAGTCTGGGCCCACGGACTCTCGGTGCTTGCGTAGAAACTCTACGTTCTTCTTGAGGCCGACATGACCCTCATCCGGGCAGAAGGGCAGGGGAACCTTGGCGCCCCAGAAGCCCATGTCCCGAGCCGCGGGCGGCTCAGGGCCGGTGCAGTAGAAATCGACGCGCTCCTTGGTGGCGCCACCAATCAGACGGTAGACGGGCTCGTCGCGGATCTTGCCGAGCAAGTCCCACAACGCGAGGTCGATGACGGAGATGACGGCCACAGGGAGACCCTTTCGTCCGTAGAACATGGAGGCACGGTACATCTGCTCGAAGAGGAGGTTGGTGTTTCGTGCGTCCGCGCCGATTAGGAAACGCTCAAAGTGCTGGTGCACGAGCCAGCAGCCGGGAGGGCCTTTTTCACGTCAGTACTCTAACACTCTTAGGATATCAAGTCAAGGACTCTGGCTACACACCACCAAAGCCGGTCGCGATACCGACTGTGCCATCGGCAGACTCAATCTCCACCAAAAAGGAGCCGAGGACATTGATGCCCCAGCTCGTTCTCGATTTGCGGTATTGCTCCCATCGCGAGCAGGGTGTCGAGATATCCGAGTCGATCAACCTGTGAACACGGTAAGCCAGTGTCATACGGGGCCCGTGAACATGCATGCGTACCAGTGGCCGCCCTTGACATTGTGATAATCACCGCCGGACCCGACACCGCCGATGATGTACGACCTGATGGCCTTGATGGTGAACTTGTTGTTCGCTATCGCGGAACCCATTGTGCAGTTTGGTGGTGTAAGCCAGCCTCGTCGTGATAGTCGAGTGGAGGGGTTGTTCAGGGGGGAGCCGGACTGACGAAACAACCAAGTATAAGGAAGGTAGGTGTTGGAGGGAGAATGTCCGAGCGGAAAAACGAATGGGATTGTCAAGGAAATAGGCTAATAGCTGCTGTCGAAGTACTCTTCTCCCAGCTTATGAGGGGACCGCGACTTGGAGAAGTCGGTCGTCTTTCACCCGAACATGGTTGCAAAGGCCAGACGCGGGGCGCCGCAAGCGGACCCGGCAGTTCTTCTGGCAAACTTCCAGGCTATCTGTCGGAGGAGGTGAATCACGTGTCAGTTGGCCTGGTGGCCCCAGATTTCACACATTCGTTCGGAACTTCGGTTTGTCGGCTCGATGGTCGCCGACGGAAGTTACGGCCCCGCAGTTGGGAAAATTGAAGCCATCCGTTGCGAAGTAGGTATTGAGGATGTTGAACACAAGGGTCCAAGCATCTATGGTGAGGGTTGAGAGTTGAGAGTTTCTGTCCACGGAGTATCATCGGCTTTTATCGAGGCGTTCTCGACGGGGATCAACATTTGAGGCAAGAGCGATCTGAATGAGCGCCGTGTTTTCGCCGAGGCAATGATAGTGCTGGCTTCCCCGCCGCCTGTCCTCGAGTCGGCCAACCACAGTCGTCGTCTTGACCCCACGAGTCCCCGCGCGCGCTAGACAGGTGAGACACAGACAGAAATAACCCTCAGAATGAGCTTGGTCAAGCACCAAAGCCTGGTCGAAATGTGCCACTTATTATGTCTAATTTTGAACCCCAGAGCCACTCCGCGTGACCCATTGACAAACATTTGGAGCTCCCTGTCCTCCTCGGGCGCGCTCCTCATTGTCCCGAAACGCTCTTCGGATCGAGGTCGTGCGAGAGCGGATTAACTTGCTGTAGGGAAGTTTACTCAACGCCAACCCTCTTTATCGAGACTTGTGGGCATGCTCGGTCTATAGTCACAACGACGCGCCCTGGACCAACCATGTCGGAGGACCGGGCACCCCCGAACGATTGGGACAGCGATGCCAGCGACGAAGATACTGCGTCGCGCGTCAGCTCCAAGAGGAAGCGCCCTCCTGTGTCCGTCTCGTGAGTTCCACACCGCAGGTCGAGTCGCGACCTTATCCCCGTCGCCATGAGCGAGCCCGAGACCGCATGTAATAACAACCCCATCCCCAGATGTGAGCTCTGCAAGCAGCGCAAGGTCAAGTGTGATCGCGGGCAGCCATCGTGCGGTTGGTGCACCCGCAACGGCGCAACATGCGAGTACAAAGAACGACGCAAGCCTGGCCTGAGGGCCGGCTATGGGAGGGAGCTCGAGCAGAGGCTCGATAAGCTTGAGCAGATCCTCAGGTCCCACTCGGAGATCCTCCAGGCCTCTCTGTCGAACCAGGGCAGCTCGACATCGCCAAACCACCACATGAGCTCTGCTCACAACAACCCACTCGCCTCCAGCCTCAACACCATTTCGCCCAACAACAATAGCCATGGCAATGCCATGTCTCACCACGGCAGTCTACCAAGCGACAATGGCACACCACGAGACCCCGTGTTCCGACCCCCAGAGCACCTCCGAACGCCCCAGGCGGAAACAGCCCTGTTTCTGCATAAGCCGTCGAGCTTCACGCCAGCTTCGCAGGATTTTGGCGTCCATGTAGCACAGACGCCCGGCGTCGAGGGCTTCCACAATGCTTCCATTTCTGGCATGTCAGCCCCGTCCCAAATGCAAGGTATGCAGCCATCCGCTGCCGCGCAGGACTATTACGGGCAAGGTATGGTTGGACCCAGGAGTGTTTTTTTTTTTTTCTTTTTGTTTTCCCACAGACTGACCAGTCGCGTGCTCGAGCAGGTCCGGTCAATACGCACTCGCCGACAGTGCCCATCCCCCATGTCGGGGCCCCCGCGGCCTTGGATCAGGAGATGCCGCCTTACGACCTACTGTATGCTCTGGTCGACCTCTACTTCAAGCACATTAATACGTGGTGCCCCATACTACACCGCAAAACGACTCTGGACTCACTGTTCGGCCCCTCGACACTGCAGGAGACGGACAGGATTCTGCTCCACGCCATCGTGGCCACCACAATGCGCTACTCTAACGATGGCAGACTGACCGAGGAGAGACGACGCCACTATCATCAGGTGTCGAAAAATAGGGTTCTCCTCTATGGCATGGAGAACGCCTCGGTCAAGGCATTACAGGCCCTCCTGATCCTCGCCTTGGATCTCTGTGGTGACAGCAATGGCCCGCCGGGCTGGAACATTATGGCATTGATCACCCGATCGGTGGTGCAGCTCGGCTTGGCTGTCGAAGCCACATCCTCCAGTGTGTCTCCAAACATTACTTCGATATACACCCTCCGAGCAATGGTGCTGCCGGACTCCAAGGACTTCATCGATGAAGAAGCTCGCAGGCGCCTGTTCTGGATGATCTACATGCTCGACCGATATGCAACCATTGCGACTGCCTTTGAGTTTGCGTTGGACGACAAGGAGATTGACAGAACGCTACCTTGCCGCGACGACTTGTGGATCAAGAACCAAAAGGTAGAGACCCGCTGGTTCAAGACCAAGGACCACCACGACGAGTCGGGCGAGTACGGCGTCAACAAGCCCGAGAACATTGGCGCCTTTGGGTTTCATTGCGAGATCCTCAACATCCTCGGTCAGATCCACAACTTCCTCAAGCAACCGGTGGACATTAGCGCGTTGAGCGATGTGGAGCAGTGGCAGATGCGGTACAAGGAGCTGGACAACATGCTCACCTCATACAAGTTCTCCCTGCCCAACGAGTACGGCAACATGGCCAAGCTCTTCCAGCCGGGCAGTAAGAACCTAAATTGCGGCTGGGTCATGCTGCACGCAACATACCACTTTGCCGTCATCAGGCTACACTCTTCGGCAGCCTACCCCACCACCCGATCGCCCATCTTCACCCCATCCTACAGCGCGTCCCAGCGGTGCCACGGGGCGGTCGAGAACATCGCGGCTCTAGGAGAGTTTGTGATCAACAACGGCCTCGTGAACAAACTCGGGCCGCCCTTTGCCTTCACGCTCTGGGTAGCGGCCCGGTTGCTGCTGGTCCACGGGTCCACGGTCGAGCACAAGCTGTCGCCCCAAATCTCCTTCTTCGTCGAGACCCTGCGCGAGATGGGTCGCTACTGGCCCGTGGCCGCGCGGTACTGCGAGCTCCTCTCTCGGGTCCTGGACGAGCACCGGGACAGCGAGCACAAGGGCGACGGCGTGACGCCGAGCTCGGTCAAGATCCTCGCCGACATGCGCCGCACAGCCTTCGACCTCGATTTTCTCATCTCTCGTCAGCCCAAGGCCGGTGGGGCGGCCGGCGGCTCGATGAACCCCAGTCGGCTCCCGAGCGTGACGCCCGCGAGGACGCCCGCGCCAAACGAGCTGGAGTATCTCGATGTCTTTGACTTTTTCAACTTTCCCAGGCTTCCCGCCGGCGGGGAGAACATCGTCTCCAACGGGAATGGAAACAACACCCAGACACCGGCGCCGGGGGACGAGATGGACCCTGGAGGCAACGGCCAGGGCTTGGCGAACGAGTTCAACATTACGAATTTCACGGTGGATGCAAACAGCGACTGGCTGTTTAAACAGGATTCCATGAATGGCAAGTTCATGTCATAGGAGAGAGAAAAAGGTACTTTATGGTAAGGGATGATTTCTGGGAATACCTACCGTCGTGGTAGTCGCCCGAGGGGCATGGGTGGCGTTGAGGAGTTATAGGAAAGCAAGAGCATGCAATGTGTGGTCGGCTCCATCGAGCTCTGGGACTTGACTATTGAACTGACGGGGAAAATGTTTAGTGACGGTGGTCAATGTTAGGACATTGTTTCCTCGGGTCATTCCAACCGTTTCACTATGCCTACCCTGTATGCCTGCTCATGTTGTCGTGATCGCTAACAACTACTTCTTCAGCTCATGACTGCGTGAGCTGTCTGAGTCAATAGTCATTTGGCTATTGTGTTCCCTTTTTTATTCTTTCTTTTTTTCCCTTTTTTACTCCTCAAGATATGCCAGCAGTGTACGTGAGTGAAATGGAAACAATTTCGTCAAAACTTGCTGGTCATCGCACCTCAAATCAGCCCACGTGATAACCCGTCACCTCGCCATGTCAGCTAGTCGAGCCGGATGATTCAATCCTTTTCGACAAATTGACTGACTTTCATATAACTTCCCTTTGAAAAATCTCACGCTGCTCCCGACGACGAAGTAGCCAGGCTACTGTTGGCGTAGTCATCTCGACCCTTTCTCGACCCTTCGCTGATCTCTTACTATGTGGAGCTGGGCGATTCAAAATGGACCCTGAATAATGGACACCACTTCATTTGACACTATGCTACCAGTATGAATCGCGAAACTTCGTTAAAGCGAGTCTCGACTGACTGCGGCCATCACTTCAAATGCTGGTGCTCATGAGTCGTGCGATTGAATGTGAAGCAGGGCTGGGTCAAATAATCTTTGCACCTCACAATCGGCAAGATCAACGACATGCGAGCTGAGAATCATCGGTCGCAGCAACAATGCTGGGACGCAAAGCCAGTGCTCACGATGCTCGCGCCGCCCGGCGCCTCGGGTTGGAAAAATGGTCACGATGCCTGGCCAACGACGTCCCTGCCTGCAAACCCCGGATCAGCATCGCAGGAACACTTTAGCATCGTGGGAACTTGGTCCACAGGACACATGGTGGTTTGGATGCACTCCCCCGTGAGTGCGCAACGCTTGCAGCGCAAGACGGTGGCCCGTGGGCGGCAAAAAACTCACGATGCTCCAGCACCTGGGCTCAAACGGTGGCCTGGTGCGGTTCCACCCGCCACCTCAGCGTTTTCTTCCTGCACACTCCGAGGGCTCACGATCCTACTGTACCCAGTGGGCCAGTGTTCGGTTGCTACCGATCTGCAAACTGGTCGTCTAAAATTACCGGGTGGGGGTTTCATTCATTGATATGAAAGCTTGACATCGTGGCATGGTCCCAGAAATGTCACGATGCATGCCTGCCGAATTTCGGGGTCCTCACTCGCCCTCGCTGCAATGTGCACCGAGTGAGCCCCTCACGAAGCGGGTAAAGTTGAGTGCATGTCGCCTTTGCTTCGCTCTTAATAAAGAGTCACAAGAGCCTCATGCGGAGAATGATAGTAGTGTCAATATTTCTTGCTAAACCTCGACCCGGACATTCCTCAATCATCGCGCCATCCTTCCCAGTACCAGACCAGTGCCGTCATCACCGACCACTGCACATTTCCTGAGCATCAGCACTTGGCAGCGCCATCGCATCATCCTTCCGCAACTACGTAACAAACCCACTATCGCAGCAACTGGACGCTCGAGGCACAGCAAAACAGTCTCTCCAGGGTGGTGTTGGCGCCCCGCTTCGCAGTATCTGCTCTTATCGCTCTTTATCAGGACAAATACGTCGAAAGGCTAGGCATTTTGACATCATCATGCCTTTGACGGGCGTGCTAGCCGGCAAGACTGCCATCATCACAGGAGGTACCACGGGCATCGGCCGAGCAATCTGTCTCGAGTATCTGCGCCAGGGCGCCACAGTTGCGGTCAATCACCTCGGCCTCGAGAAAGATCAGGTGCATCTGGACACCCTCGTTGACGAGGCGGCGGCCCTATGCAAGGATAATTCTGGCGCTTGCAAGCTAGTACACCAAGCTGGCGATGTGAGAGAGCCAGACACGGCGGCCAAGCTCGTCGCACTGGCTGTCGAAGCCTCGCCGTCACAGAGACTGGACATTTGCGTGTCCAACGCCGGCATCTGCACATTTGCCGAGTTTCTCGACCTATCGCCCGACTTGCTCACAGATACGGTGCGTACGAACCTTGACGGCGCATTCTACGTTGTGCAGGCGGCAGCGAGGCAGATGGCCAGGAGCCAGAGTCCACCGGGTGGTAGCATCATTGGCATATCATCCATCTCAGCGCTGGTAGGCGGTGGACTGCAGACGCATTACACACCGACCAAGGCGGGCGTCAACAGTTTGATGCAGAGCACCGCGGTCGCGTTGGGCAAGTACGGCATCCGGTGCAACGCGCTGCTGCCGGGCACCATCAAGACGCAGCTCAACGACAAGGACCTTGAGGACGACGCCAAGAGGACCTACATGGAGGGCAGGATCCCGCTCGGCAGGACAGGTGTGCCAAAGGACATGGCTGGTCCCGCCGTCTTTTTGGCAAGTGAAGAGCTGAGCGGCTATGTGACGGGCGCTCAGCTGCTCGTCGACGGCGGCCTATTTGTGAACCTGCAATAGGATAGACGCATAGGAATAAAAGTAAATAACATGCTGGATTCGGGCTGCACGGGAGATGCATGAAACATTGGGTGAGACTCGGCGCACGACACATGTCGGGTTGCATTGTGACAATACTGCATAGTTGGCCTAATGATGACGAGCCGATCCCTCCCTCATACGGACGTGTAACTTGGGGAGGAAGCATCCTTGCTTTGAAGTTCTGACACACAGATAAACCCAGGGGGTTAATAAAATGCATGGCGCATCTGCATGTGCGCACAAGCGGCTTGCGTAGGTAGGATGATACTCTCCTGCTTGCTGTGCCGGAATGGTAACAAAGACCGCAGCTTGGGATCGGCCCGTTGGGGAAGAGGTTGACCTGGCTTTTACCTTTTACTTGTACAGATGACGCCTTTGGGGGGACCCTCTTTTACTAACTACGGGACGCTAACAACGATAGACTGCAGAGAGTTCTTGATCATCACCACGAAAGGGACTTGGCGACACATGCAACTATGGCAGCTGGAACTAACCGGTGACGAGTACGTAAATCTGTGTCTGTTTGTGACACGTGTATATTGTTTGTAGGCAGCGATCTTCCAAATCTTCAGTTCTACGGTATCAAATGCCAACTGACAATGTCGGATCGATAATGATACGTACCAGATCCCAGATGCTTTGACCAGTCAGCTGGCTCGGTTCTCCTGCCCGAACTGCCATATCAGTATGAAGATAAAGATATACCCATGAAACAGTCCATGCAGCGAGATATTCTCTAGCCTCGTTTATCACAATGCTTATCGACCAGCCAGAATGCGTCCTGAATAAAACTGTGAGCCGCGCTAGGCTACCGTGAGGGACGGTAGGGTCATGGATTGTCGGTGTGACGCCGACCGTCTTGCAGAAGTACCTCCATGCGCACAGATGCCGCAACATGTTACCTTTGAGTGATACCGCCGAGAAATGATCGGGTGCCTTCGGTCTACAAGCACGTACCTGGAAACGTAACTTTGTTACGGCGGCAAGTGCGCTCCAAGTCCAGTCCTCCACGTGGGTCTGTAGCAGAGTCTGATGGTCGCAGACAGCCAGTCAGATCGGCTGCCGGGCCGGCTGGCGGAGCACAGGGCGGGTCCGCATTGACGTCAACATCGGCGGCCGGCCGGATCCCTGATAGCTGACTCTGGTGGTGTGCCGACACCGTGATGAACAGTCACAGTTTTCATAAGTCGGATCGACTTGCGTGCGCTGATCCTGGCGATGCCTGTCCACCTCGCCCAATGACGGTGTCGTGCAGAAAGAGCCTCAGAGGGATGGCAGATCCAGGGGTTATACTCAGGGGGTCCAACCCCTCCAGACGGGTGGCTGCTGCACTGGCAGGTGCCCCTCCAGATTTGCCCGGACGCAACCATCAACAACCACCACCAAACGAAGACACACATCACCCTATGCGGTGCATTTTGTGCGCTGTTTTACCGCCATTTGCCCATGCTCATGTCGGCAAGACATCACTCACTGATGCCTTCCGCGGGACTATTGATGTACAACAGCGTCGTCACATGGTAAACCTTGGGGGATTCATGACGAGCATTGCAGGCACGCGCGGGTCTGGTACGAGAGACTGGACCCTGTTAAACGCTGCCGTGTGCTCGGCCAGACTGTGCAGTTGTGAGAATGCCACGGGGCCGCTTGAGATGCTTGAAGCATGAGTACTGCCTTATCGGGACTATACGTGATCAACTCGCCGCTTGACTCGAATCAGCAGTTGGTGATCAGCGTGCGAGCCTCAATCCTCAGATGTCGCTGGCTGACTGGGCTTCACCACCGCCAAGACAGAAGGACCGGACGCATCCATCCCCCCATGGGCAACGTCTCATCGCCGAGAGAATGTGTGTTCCGATGCGTGCGTGAATAGCAAATCGCCCATAAGTTCCAGCCATGGCGATGTACGCATTACTTTCGGTCGATTCCCCGCGAACCCGATTACGCCTGAGTACTTGGCGTTGGAGGCCATGTGGATATGGGCGAGGCTGCAAGGGGAAAACCGCGAACCCCAAAGGTCTTGGCGACTGCAGCGAGCTACGAGCGTTCAGCGCCCCAGCCGCCAGGCTGACGCTGCCGAGACTGCTCCGCCCAACCGGGGCCAAGGAGAGAGAAAAGTCGTTCATCGCCGGACGCGCTGCCGGGAGACTGGAGGCTGTTTCTGGGTGGGGCCCCCTCGACGCCCTGCCGTCATCGCGAACAGTGACCCGTCCGGCCAATAGCAGCGTCGCATCGCCCTAATCGCGACGTCGTCGGGCCAGATACGCCAACGACTGGACGCACATTTTGGCGTTAACCGTGAAGCTAGCCGGAGGTACGTACCCCGGGCGCGCCGCGCGCCAAAGGAAGAGTCAAGACTGCCAACGTCGTCATTCTGTCCTTCTAGAATTCTCCAATTTTTACTAGTTTGACATGCCATTGACAGTTGAGGACTGGCTATCAGTCTACGTGCCGCCCATGCGGTCATCACGCTATATCGAATATTCTTTTGACTTTTCTTCACTCTGAGCGCCATACCCGTGCCATACTGTGACTGTGGGTGGGACCTCGTTTGATAAGACACTTGTGGATGGGAACATCGAGCCAAGTTCGTTCGCCACAGCCTCCAGCCTCCAGCCAGCACCCTGTCTGTAACATTCTGACTCGCAATGAGGATGGTGATGATTGTTCACTGCGAGATCCACCCACCATGCGAACCCACATTTTCAACTCGCGCTTGGGCTCGGGGTTCCACCAAGGGGGGCCCCATCCATGATTCCTCAGGGAGTCCATCCATCAACATCCTTCTATCACTCGAAATATATAAACACATCAACCTCCCACCGTTCTTCACGGTAGTATTCCTCTCTCATCAACATCATCCACGTCCACCTTTTTAACAACACGACTATCCCTTCCTTGACTTGAATCTGAAGTTCCTCCCCATCTTCCTATTCAACACCCCACTCCACAAACAACTTACACCAACAACCGCCACCTCACACCCAAACATGTCGGGTCACCAATATTTCGACGACAGCTCCAGTGCTCCCTCGTCACCCGAACTTCAGTCCACAGGCTCCTCCTCCAGCCTCTCAAGCCTTCAATCTACAGCCTCTCCCATTTCTCCACCCCTGGACAATGCTGTCGCCGACTCCTTCGTCTTCGCTTTCGACATTGACGGTGTCCTCGTCCGTGGTGGAAAGGCCATCCCCGAGGCAATCGAGGCCATGAAGGTCCTCGACGGGCAGAATGAGTACGGTGTCGCCATGTAAGCCAACTTGACAAACCCTGCGTCCCCACAACACACTAACACACCATACAGCCCCCACATCTTCCTTACCAATGGTGGTGGTAAGACAGAAGAGGAGCGCTGCCGCGATCTCTCCAAGCAGCTGGAGCGTGATATCAAGGTCGGTCAGTTCATCTGCGGCCACACTCCCATGAGGGAGATGGCCGAGACTTACGGCACCGTCCTTGTCATCGGTGGAGAGGGTGAGAAGTGCCGCCAAGTCGCTGAGGGCTACGGCTTCAAGGACGTTGTCACCCCTGGCGATATCATCAAACACGACGCTGCCACCACTCCGTTCCGCAAGCTCACCGAGCAGGAGCACGCCAACTCTCGTGAGCGTGATTTCAGCGATGTCACCATCGATGCCGTCTTCGTCTTCGCCGACTCCCGCGACTGGGCCGGCGACATCCAGATCATGCTTGACGTTGCCATGTCCAAGGGTGGCCGCCTCGGCACCCGCTCTGAGACCTTCGACGAGGGTCCCCCCTTCTACTTCTCCCACAACGACGTCGTCTGGTCTGCTGCCCACGAGCACGTCCGTCTCGGTATGGGCGCTCTCCGCCGCATGTTCGAGGTTACGTTCAAGGATATCACCGGTGGTCAAGGCAAGCTCAACACGCACGCATTCGGCAAGCCCCAGGTTTCCACCTTCGAGTTCGCTTCTCGCCTAATGACCCAATGGCGCAGCACTGAGCACGGTCTTGCCGCTCCCCCTTCCACCGTCTACTTCGTCGGTGACACTCCTGAGAGCGATATCCGCGGCACCAACGCTGTCAACGAGAAGGCTGACAACGACTGGTACTCCATCCTCGTCAAGACTGGTGTATACCAGGAGGGTACCGAGCCCGCCTACAAGCCTCGTGTCACTGTCACCAATGTTCTCGACGCTGTCAACCACGGTCTCCACCGTGAGATGAAGAAGAAGGGCATGTCTGGCTTGAAGCAGGCGATGCTCAAGACCACCGATGTCACTGACAACGCCCGCAGCATTCTCGACGAAGAGTGCGGCATCCTGGTTTAAGTTGATCGGAGATTAGTTTGAGCTTTCCTTTCTTCTATTTTCGAGTTGGTCATAGCATTGCAGGATTGGGACGGGATACAGGAGTTTTCATTTCCTTTTTTCTTTTTTGTCACCTCACGAGAAACGACATACATTCGGTTCGTCTTGAGGACTGGTGAGAAACACCAGTTGGATAGAGGACGCGCGATGATAGATCAATCGCTCTTAGCAGTGATGGCCTTCAGATAGCATACCTTCTATGATGCCCCTTATACCCCTTGATGAGCATCACATCAATACTTCAATGCAAATACTTCAACAATATCCTACTGCTTATATCACAAGTCGTAACTTTCGCATCATTAGTTATTGATACTGTTGTGACAACGAAAGCTCAAGCTCACAACATCATCACTAGAAATTGTAAGTACATCAAGCCGATGCCATTCGTGAGGATTGTTATATCTTGGACGCTCCTCCCATTGCCACAATACACCAAAGTACCAAACGACGTCGAAGACCCGCAAACAGCAAGCGGCGTAGGCCTACATCCTTGTTGGCACGAGGGTGCATGGGATCATCACGAAACGTGCCCACAACCATGCTTGACAACTGCACCTGTGGAAGAAACACCGAGGTCGCCCGAACCAAGAAACATCGGAAAGGGGGCCATCCGGATTACCCAAACTGGCAAGCCATTCTTCTCGTCATGAATGCGTAAAACCCCACACGCAGGCGCCTCGGCTCCATGGCAGGTGCCTTGGCCACAGGATCATGTCACTGGACGTGCTACTACGACCATGGCATTCTCGCCTTCCCCACAACCAACCACACGACTATGGTCTATCTCCAGAATCCACGTTCCCACTTGGGGCGAAGCATGCGATGCCTTGGCGAGTATTGCTCAAGGATCACGCGGTCCTGTCGCCTCGATTACCCATGGATATCCGGGGCGATCACGCGGTCCTGTCGCCTCGATTACCCATGGATATTCGCCCCGGATAGACGAGGCATAAATCAGCACTCAAATACAATCTCGGAAGGTTTTGATAAAACTCGGGTATGCAAATAACCTATGCCCGAGCTCATCGAGATCCTTCACCTTTGTTCCTGCCCCAATCTCAGGTGTTCCTCATCAAGATCACCGTGCAAGCGATCCTCAACATTCTCCTCTCGGAAGACAAAGTCTCCCCATTGAGACTCCGCTATCCAGCCGGCCGCGTCGACAACGCTCTGCCGCGCAGAGCGCCGTGTGAGAGCCTCCTCAGCACTCGTGCCCAGCGCAAACCCAGGCGTTTCCTCGCGGGATATCCGCAGCCAGCCCTTCCACCCTGCGACAACCTGCCCGGCCCCCATGCCTCCAACTACAATCGTGCCCCACCACTGGCGAGACGCACTCGGCGCGGCTGCGGCGCCATAAAGCATGAAGTTGCCTGCCTCATCGACCAGCGCCCGTAGATGGTCGGCGCTGGTGGTCCCGTTGCTGTTGTGGTCGTCGCCTTCTGTGGGGCTGCTGCCGTATGAGCTTGGCCGTGACGGCCGGTGAATGTAGATGTGGCGCGCGTCCATCTCCGTGCAAGTCAGCCGTGTAGCGTCGAAGCGCCCTGCTAGATCAATCACCAACAGGGCATGGCTATGTGGAGATGACACCAGCGTCGAGGTAAGCTTGTAGAGTAGTGGAAGATGTCGTCCATGGAGGGCGAGAGTAGGTGCCTGTGTTGCCCGAAAATGCCGGGCTGCAATCTCGTCGAGGGCTGGGAGATGGGTCGTTTTGAGCGGTGTCTTGGTTGCTGCGCTGCCTGTGGACGTTCGAATTGTATCGAGTATCTGGGGAGGAGGGTCAGCGGTGCATTCAACCCTTCAAGACATGACATCGAATGTTCAGGGCGCTCGAAACATTCGACGCATATTGACGGCTCATCTTCCGAGATGGACGTAACCACGTTGACAGCAGATTCACTGCTGTTGTGCATCATGCACCACAGCTTCGCCAGACAATATCTTTGTCACGACTCATCTTGCGATTGCCCGTTCCAATATGCCACTTTGAAAGTGTCCATCAGAGAGTTCTGTGCGTGGTGCAATTGCTGAAAGGGTCAAACGGTGTTGATGCTGACTGAGCACCACGTCGGCCGGAAAATGCAGCCTGAGGCCATCGCCAGACTCACCTCCTCCAGACTCATCTCTTCGACCTCACCCAAGATCCGCGCTCCCATTGCCGCCTCCATTTCTTTCGATAATGTCGCCGCCGTGCCACCACTTCCAGGCCGCTGAGCTCTCCGAAAGGGTCCAGCAGGATGTCCACGGCAAGCGTCGCAAAATGGTGCCGGGCGTGAGCCGCATCGACCTCACAGCTTGTGACCTGCTCCGGATGCCCCAATACAAATGCGAAGTTGAGCACCCAGTCACAACGCAAAGTCGTATTCTTTGCGAGGAGGTGACGCGATTATTTAGGAGGTAAGCCGGTGATAAGGAGCTAGTCTAATTGCTGGCAGAGCGGATGGCTGATGAGGTCACGACGTTAGATGCAAAGACAAGAAGGGAATCTTTACTGTCGAGACCACGGCTTGGGAGGGACGAGACCACCCGAAATCAGCTGGAACAGCGTCACGACCAGCAATTGACACCGCCGGCATCCCTCATCGCCGCCCTCATCAATGGTCCACAAGCTGGACTCAGTCGGATTCTCCGGAATGATCTACACATACGGATAAAGAAGCGCCAACTGTGCTACCGGCGACGCGCCGAATCACAGTTTATCACCGAGACTTGAGTATCTTCACAGAGTCAAGTCGCGCTCAAAGTGCGGAAACGTCTACAATGCGCATAGGTTTTTGTGTGCTACGCTAAGACTAAAGACCGACACAAAGGACATTCCATGAGCTTCGGGTTGTCGTGGGAAAATGCCAGCCACGTTCATGGAGGCCCCGTCAATCGTTTGACTTGCGTTGGAAAGCCGCCGGTTGTAGCAGGCACGAAGCACTCGGCGAGCAAGGGCATAACATCAGAATGGGCGATGACGAGTACGTCGCCACGGAACAGAACATCGCGGCCTGAGTCGGTGTCCCTGCGGTTGTGCTACTGGGAAGTGGCAGCGCGCATACACCTTGCGGACCACATCCAGTGCATTCACGCCAGCTTGCGTTTGCCAAACCTGCACGCAGCGAAAGATAGCACAGGGCTAGGTAGCCGTGTACAAAGGAAAAGCTCGGTGGTTGTAGAGATACCAGGAGTAGCAACTGCCTTAGCAAAGTCAACGAGACGCTCCGTCCAGCCATCATTTGCCTTCTCTCTATTGTACATCCCGTCAAGCGAAGGATCGCACCCAACTTCCTCTCGGCAAACAACGTCTAGCCAGCCGATTCCCGCCCTATATCACCGTGCGTGATGTCATTTTCGGTTTGTAATGCCTTTACTGCGAGGCGTTCGAGGCACGCTTCTCCTCCAGCTTCGCATAGAAGTTGTCACGGGCGTTGGTGCGAGGCATGTGGTAGCCGTACCTAGCAAAATGGGTCAGTACCAATTCTTTCGATCAGGTCGCGCCACTGCTTTCGTCCGTATCGTACCAGAACCAGTTGGCCATAACGAAGCCGATGCCTGCAATAATTCGTTAGCCCTCGGCAATCGACGGAAGGGACAGTTGCACTTCAGCGCCAGGGCAGAGCGTAACTGCCAGCACGCTGAACACAGTCCTGTATTCGTGTATCCACGTACCGAAAGAGAGCCCAAGGTCCAGGACGAGGTTTCGTCGGAGCATCTGGTCACCACTATCAGTCATCCAATCCATGTCGCAACCGAGCCGCTTCCGCCAGACGGAGCAGCCATTGGCGTCCAAAAACATACACCAGTGATGGGCTTGACGGCCATTGTGAGCGATTGAGTGTCTGTTCGGGGCTTTCGAGGCGATCGTGTGTTGCAAATGTTTGCTCGTCAATTGGGCGAAGAGGTGGTCTGAGGTTCGGAACCGGTAACGTTAGATGGTGATAATCGCTCTAAAGTGTAGTCACGTGATGGCATGGGTCCCGAAAACTTCCTCGGCAGAACTACGGCTGGGCTGCTCGACACTGCGCTGCGCCAGGCAGGGGACTGGACCTTTGCAGGAAATTCGACGACAGACACTTTATCTTCGACTTTGCGCAGAACGCGAGCTTCGAGATTTGGAAGCAGCGCGACAGCACACTGCCACCATGACCCTCCGTGTGGCAGCTCGTCATCTGGGTCAGCCCGGTAGGTGCTCTGCTTCATTGACTCTTCAAACGCAAGGATCGCGCTGCTAACATCCATTGCAGCGGCGCTCCCATCGTCAGTCCTTGCCCTGCGGCTGGGACCTGCAGTACAAGTTCGTCATAAATGGAGTCTCGGCAGCTTGTTTGGAGGCAAGGGCGCGAAAAACGATAAAGGCCCAGGCATTGGCTCTGATCTCGACAACCCGGAAGTACGCAAACGGTTCCTCAAAGCCTCGAAGCCCAAGACCCGCCCCGCAGCAGACGAACCAGCCGGAGTTTTCGCGGACGAACTTCAAGAAGCCGAGAAGGAGACGGCGCAGTCGCTGTCACGAGACGGTTCTGGAGTCCCCGAGAACGCACCACAGTCCTTCGAGGAACAGCTCGAGGTAGCAAGGCGGGAAGCTCTTACGCACGAAGGCACGCACATAGCCATCGACCCCGATCCAGCTTCGCGCGTCCAATGGCAGCGGCGCAAGGTTATCCAAATGGTCCGGCGGCGGGGTGTGCTCACACCGCAAGAGCGCATCAAAATGACGGAGCGTGAGCTGTTGCACAAAAGTGCCTGGTTGCCGACGAGCACCAAGAAGCTTGTCATGCTGTCTCGTCAAATCGCAGGCAAGACTGTGGACGATGCGATTACGCAGATGCAGTGGTCCAAGAAGAAGATGGCCCGCGAAATCAAGTGGTACCTCGAACAGGCACGCGACCTGGCCATCACGCAGCAAGGCATGGGCCTGGGTCGGGTTAACGGAGAACTTCTCAAACAGCCCAAGAAGATCCAGACAAAAGATGGGACCTGGATGGAGATTCGTGACCCAACGCGAATGTACGTTGCCCAATCGTGGGTCGGCCGAGGCGATTGGCGCGGGAAACACACGGATATCAAGGGTCGCGGACGAATGGGTATCATCCAAAATCCCAAAGCTAGTATGGACATTGACCTTGCCACATGGAGTCGAAGACTGACATGATGATAGGTTTCACCGTCATCCTGAAGGAAGAGAGGACCAGGATACGAGAATATCAGGAGCGTGAAGCTAAAAAGCTCGCAGAAGGTCCCTGGGTACACCTACCAAACAGGAAGGTCTACGGCCAAAGACCTTACTATTCGTGGTAGACGCAGATGCGTGGCATGTCTCGAATGGGTCCAAGGGCGTTTGTAAATATGTAGGATAGTGGTTTCGGATGCTGACTTCGAGACATGTAACATATGTACTAGAAGATGCAAATGATAGACCGCACTGTTACTGTACTCCGTTGATATTCTACGAGCTTGCAGGCCACGATATCGGCTAGAGATCACGCATGACCGGCGGCCTACGATAAGATGAGCACTTGGTTGATTGTTTGTTTCCCTTGATCCCGCTTTCACAGCTATCCAGTCGAATTCATACAGAAAGAAATCATGCGAACGGCGTTGGTCCATAATGCTTGATATTCCGTGGACTGGGCACCGCCGTCTCAAACCATTGTACGAGGCACCTGCCTAGGGACCATATCCTCATAACGGTTCGATGTCATCTCAAAAGATTCACCGTGCTTCTCCATATAAGAACCATTATCACCGGATCCGTAGCCACGGCCGACGTCAGGCATAGGCCTTGAAATATCGGGATGTCGAGGGCCTCTCTGCTGCTTCTGCTTGCGTTTCCGGAGAAGAATAGCAATGGCAACTGCTGCGATGGCAATAACGACAACAGCAACGCCGATACCGATGCCCACAGCGGCGCCCTGTGACAGACCCCCGGTGCCGGCGGCTGCTTCATCATCCTCCTCCTCGTCATCTGCTGCAGAGGTCTCGCTGGTCTCACTGCTGGATGTCTCTGCGGCGGAAGTCGTTTCTTCGGATTCAGAGGCTTCCTGAAAATCGTTAGCCCGGTCTAGCCGAGTTAATTGCAAGACTCACGGTAGGGATAGCGCTTGCGCTGGTGCTTGCAGCTGCGCTTTCGGTTTCCTCTGGAGCGGTCGTCGTTGCGGCGGCGGCGTCGCTGGTCGGCTCAAGGGTTGTTGAGTCTGCGCTCTCAGTTTCCTCCACTGCCGCAGACGTGGTTGGCTGCTCTTCCTCCTCAGCAGCCGATGTGGTCGTAGCCGCCGGTTCCTCAGCGGCAGATGTTGTTGCAGACCCTTCGTCGACGGCGCCGTCGACGGGAAACCCGGCACAAAAGTTGGTGTCGAACCACCCGCTGACTTGGGCTTCCGTGGTGCCGGTGCATCGAGAGGTGGAACAATCCCTCACACTATAGCGGAAGTTCTCGACCGTGCAAAGGCAACCAGGTTCGTTGGCATTGGTACAGCCAAACTCTGCGAATTGGGTGTTTCTAACGTCGTTGTTGCAAGAATCCTGCAGTGTCTGTGAGCAGATTGACTCCAGCCAGGAGTATTCTTTGAAAGGGACCACGTACCACACAAGCTGGGTCAGCAGGAGCTTCTTGGCCAGCTACGCTAACCACACTGACGGCAGCTAAAACGCTGAGAACAGACAGAAAGCTCCGCATGCTGAAGGCTGACGTATTTTTTATTTTGAAAGCAGAGTCGGGAATATAAAGACGAAGAATAAGGGTTTGTGGAGTGCGATTGGCCGCTGATGGACAGGCGCGAGGTGGATCTGGCGAGTCGCGATAGGGGACTGAGCGATTGCGCGAGTATCAGGAAAAAGGGTCAAGTCCAGCTCGATGGTGTCACTGTGGTGAAGTACAAATTGTCGCAACCCTGGCCAATGGCAGAGTGTGAGACCAGGTGAAGCGAGCTTTCGAATGAGAGCGCGTGGTTCCTTATTCGTCTGCAAACCGATACGTGTGCCCGGATTTCCAACGTGGGTACGTCCGGTGCCGTTCGCGTCGAGCTCTCAGGATGAGATTTGGAGTCGCTAGTCGTTTACTGCGACCGGCCAAGTAATGACAAGGTGTTTGATCGTCCGTAGCGTGCGTAATGTCGAGTTCGTGCTTCTCGTGAAACGAAGGTAGGTCGTGGTGAGCTCAAAAGAGACTGGAGCGAGAGAAAGTAGTAACAAATGAGTGAAAGGCACCGGTCAGCGAGAAAGAATGAATGACTATGCCGAAGCTACGATGTGAGAGGAAGGTGAGAGGGATGTCAAAGAGACACTCGAAGCTATTGCAGACGTTGAAATGGGATCGGGCTCGTGGGAAGAGTGGAGTGCCCTTGTTGAGCAGCGAGCTCGCTCCGGCGCACCGCCGCACATTGCCCTCCCATAACTCGGGATGGTTTGGGTGGATCATGATGCCAGCTTGGGACTGGAATCAGGGGGCGCTCCCATCATCCATGTCCAGTCTACAGGTGCACGGGGCAGCTGGGCCAGCAGCTGAGCGGGTGCCTGCAGCGCCTAGACAACAAGCACAGCAGCCGGTGTCTCAGGAAGTCTTCTAGCGTCAAACGGAGGATGAGTGAGGGCACAAATCAGCTCGAGCATTTTCGCAAGCCTTGCGTGGATTTGGGTAGCTTGTGATTCCTTCCACATATCGTTCTGATGTTGTACGGACGCACAAAGCCCAGTAGTACTTCAGCATACTGGTGCGACTCTGGTGACCTAACACGCTAGGTATGTCTGTGCAAGACGGCCAGCGCGAACCCGCCAAGATCCTGCGCGGCTCAAGGATGAATCTCCCATGGTTAACAAGGTAGAAGTTAGGTCGGGTGATCAATGCTGGTGTGTATACGGATAGCTGCGACAGCTATGCTTCATGCGCCAGGATACTCAAAACAAACAATCTGAAGCGATCGCAACGCACCCCTCTCCAGGAACATGGTCACCTTCCATCCAGACCTAGACATTCACTGAGAGGCTGAGTACATGTAAGGAATTGTTCTTAACAACAGGACGAGCTACCGCATTGAGTCATCTTTGGAATTCGACGCGAGGACTCGGAGGAATTGTTGGTGTGGGGACCGCGCACTAATTACCACAACACTATGAACCCATGAACGTGTCGGAACTAACAACTTGGATCTACGCCTGGGGCAGCAACCACCTCCGCAAGTCTTTGCAGTGACAGGAGATGAATGTTTGCATGTTTGCATCAGTTCATGTTATGGATTTGCTGTAATCACCGTCAGTTTGGGTGCCATTGGCATATTTTTTAAAGCTCCTTGGATAGTCTTTTGAAATAAGAGAGAATAACGCGGATGCCGATGGCTGTAGCCCCTGCCAAGCCTCACAGGCACTCGATCATTAGAGGTACGTATTGCAGTGATGACTGATGAAAAACATGGGGATAGCACCGCGACTCGCGAGAACCGACTACTGGCGTGTCTGTTTCTAGTTACCCTACACTCCGCAATCAACGACTCGAGGGTCAAACAGATGACAGTTCTATCAACTATCTAGACGCCGATATGGAAAAGTATCTCCATCCTGGTGGCATTGATGAATTATCTCGTCATTCTTATGCGTTTGATGAAATTCTCAAAGTTGCTAACAACGCGTTGTCATGGACAGCATGTTGCCTGGCAAAACGCACGTGTATAAACAAATATGAGTCCTGTGGAAGTACAAAATTCGGAGTGGCCGGAAAGCCATCCTCCTAAAGCATGGACATGAAGAAGTGCTCGACCAGTTGGAGTGGCTTCATGATTGTTGTGTGCAACGATAGATCACTCAAGATAAGTACCTCATCATGGTGAGCTGTTGCACTCGGGCGTGGCCAATCGCTATGTTGCCATGCGTGGTTGCCTGGTAGCTGGGCTGTAGATGAATACGTACGTCACTCTCCCCACGCGGCTCGGATAGTGGCTGTCCACGCGAGCCGAATTGGCTGCGAGGCGTTCTAGACCGCCAGAAGTGACGATGAAGCGAGCCGCTAATGAAGCTGCTTTCACTGACTGGCTACCTACCCTTCGTAGGGTCGCGCGCGCTCCTTGGACCTTGGCGTGGTCACGTTCGTTCCCTGTTCAGTTTTTCCTCACCAAAGTGAGGCTCGCCAGAGATCAACAACGCAGCTGTTGCAGCTGAGACTGCCCCGTTGTTCATTTGACCAACCGGTACGGATACTAGCACGGCAGCCGTTGCTTCTCACTTCTTTGATGGGCCTTGTTCGTTGACCCGGCATTTGCTTCACTATCCATAAAATTATCCCCACACCTTCCCAGCTGCCTGACCCACGGGCCACGACCACGAATTTTGACACCCGAGCGCGGCTTGGTCATCACCCGCTGGCCCTGTCCTGACATACGCGTTCGAACACCCCGACACTTTGACGCACGATCGATGGCCAGTGAAAAAAAGGCCCGCCACTGACTGCGATTCGACATGGCGTCACCCGTTGGCGAAGAGTCCTGGCTAGCCTATCTCGACGAGGCAGTCCGCAATGCCACCGATCTGGAAAAACGCGTTCATGCTATCGAGCTGTACAAGCGCGCAGTCAGCCTCGAGCCCGGCAGCTTGCGACTATGGCTCGCTTATTGCGACTTCTTCTGGGCTCTCTGGGGCGAGTCTCAGGACTCGAGTTCAGGCTGGTCTGAAGAGGAGCGCATGATGGGTCGCGAGCTTTTCTCCTTTGGCGCCGCCCTAGCCCTGTGGCAGCAAGGCTACGAGTCGATCAAATACCGCATAAGCGACAGCCATGAGCTCTGGGATCGGTGGATATCCCACGAGATGGGTCTGCTATCCAAGACCAGGACACCCGACGGTATTAAGCGCATTACACATCTCTACCGCAACCGACTCCTCACGCCACACCTCGCGTGGGAGGAGACATCGCAGGCATTCTCCAGCTTTCTCTCGGAATACAATCGCAACGCTTGGGAAGACACCATGAAAGAAGTCACGGGTCAAGCACAGGAAACGAAGCGGCTGATCGATGACCGGGACCCGTTTGAGATTCGCCTGAGGCAGGCGCAGAAGGCGCAGGATCTCGAGCTGGAAAAGTCCATAATGGAGGAATATTTGGAATGGGAAATGTTGCAGAGCAAGCGTAACAACGACCACCCGGACATTGGTATAGATCTATGCTGTGGACTCTTCGACCGTGCTCTAACCGGGGTCTTCGTAACCGACGAAACAATGTGGAATGAGTCTGTCGTATTCCTGTCATCGTCTAAACTGAACTCCAGCGCCGTCAGCAACCTTCTGGATGTTCTCGAACGAGCGGTGAAGCACTGCCCCTGGTCGGGGAAGATGTGGAACAAGTACATTCTTTGCGCAGAAGAAGCCAATCTCAGTTTTACCGAGATCGAACGAATCAAGCATGCGGCGACCAGCGAGGACCAGCTGTACAAGGCGGGGATGGAGAGCATGATCGAGATGTATGTCGCCTGGTGCGGGTTCTTGAAACGCCGCGCCGTCGAGGCTGGTGCGGGCGACGAAGCTGTTGACGTGGCTGATGTCGGCCTTCCGGCGGCTCTGGAAAATGTGGCCGTTGTCGGCAAGCGGTTGTACGGCAAAGATTTTCAGGGCGATCCAAAGTTCCGGCTGGAGCGTATCTATATCCAATATCTCACGGAAAAGAAGGGCGCGACAGACGAAGCTCGCGCACAGTGGAATAAACTGGCCAGTGTCCCGATACACGCCGACAGCCATGACTTCTGGTTCCGCTACTACATGTGGGAGATGCTCATCTTCTCCTCAAAACCAGCCTCAACACGCAGCCCGACTCCTCTGTCGAATGCGAATGGATTGCGGGTCCCCACCCTCGCGACATCTGTCCTCGCGCGAGCGGTGGCGCGGACGAACATTGACTGGCCAGAAAAGGTGCTTGAGGTGTACTTACAGCACTGCAACGACTACGAACCACCGGCATCCATGCGAAGAGCCACCGACAGGGCATATAAAGCTGCGAAAGAGATCCGCCGACGTCGGGAGAGAGAGCAACAAGAGAAAGACGAGGCATACGCTGCTTACTACACACAGCAGCAGCAGCCGCAGCAACAACAGCAGGAGACCCTTGTCCCCGCGGAACCTCCAGCGAGTGAGACGAAACGTAAACGCGATGACATAATTGCGGAGGGCGAAGCTTCTGCAAAATCCAGCAAACGCCAGAAGAATGAGGAGAACTCGACAACTTCACTCACCGCCGGACAGGAGCAATCGGCTCCGGCCAAAAGAGATCGGGAGCATACGACCGTCCTGGTGGAGGGTCTGCCGGCAGATGTAACTCAAGTCAAGCTTCGCCAGTACTTCAAGCCTTATGGGCATATCAATAACGTCACAGCTCTAGTTCAAGAATCGGACCAACCGACCTCAACAGCGCTGATCGAATTCAAAACAACTGAGGAGGCCCAATCAGCTCTTCTCCGAGATGGCAAATATTTCGGGCAGTCGCAGCTACGAGTCACGTCTGGCCACGATCTCACACTATACCTGGCAAATTTCCCACCAGCTGCTGACGAGAAATTTATCCGCGATCTCTTCAAAGATTGTGGCACCATACTTAGTATCCGTTGGCCAAGTCTCAAGGTCAACACCCATCGTCGATTTTGCTACGTTTCCTTCCGGGACCGGGATGCCGCTGCCAAAGCCACGAGCATGGACGGTAGCCTGTTAGAGGACAGGTATAGGCTGGTTGCCAAGTTCTCGGATCCTGGCCAGAAGAAGCGCCGCGAAGGAGCATTGGCGGAAGGACGCGAGGTTCACATTCAAAACCTGGACCGTTTCGCTCCCGAATCCGAGTTGAGACAGGTTTTTGGCAAATATGGTACCATCCTACGCGCCAACATCCCAACGACCCTGGCAGGCAAAAACAAGGGCTTCGCTTTCATCGATTTTGAGTCCAAAGAACAGGCCGAAAAAGCAGTGGCAGAGCTCAACAACACCAAGTTCCGTTCTCAGATCTTGCAGGTTGATCTCTCAAAGGACTCAAAAATCAGATCATCCGCCAAGATTGTGAATGCTGAGCGTCAATCTGCTTCGCCAGCGCCCTCGTCAGCCAAAGATGCCGAGGGTGATCAGGCCATGGGCGATGCCCAACTGGTGACCAAGCCAACCCGGGATGAAATCAAGACCCGGACGATATCGCTGATGGGACTGCCTGACACAGTCAACGACGCCCGCGTCCGCGCTCTTGTTGAGCCCCACGGCGCGATTGTCCAAATGACACTTCAGCCAGCCCATGGCGGCGCAAAGATTGAGTTTTCTGATGCTGCTACTGCTGGAAAAGCGGCCCTGCAGCTTGATGGCTTGGAATTTGAAGGATTCAAGCTGCGGACGGGGTCTGTAGAGGAGCTTCGTCACGCCAAACCACCGCGCAAAGAAGACAAAATCACATATGGCGGGAATAAGGACACCAAGAGCCAGAAGCCCAAGGACTCGTTTGACGCACCGAAGACCATAATGCCTCCACCCGCCGTTGTCCGCAGGCCTGGGGCTCAGAAGCCTGGCCCCAAGCGTGTGGTTGGCTTTGCAGGCGTGAGGGAGAAGACTGAAGCTGGGTCCAGCGGCGCTACCAACGGGAAACCTGCCCCCAAGAGTAATGCCGACTTCAAAGCCATGTTTCTCGCAAGTAGCGGGGGCAAGGGAACGGAGAAGAAGGGAAAAGAGGAAGAGTCTGCAGACGTAGAAACCGGCGTTGAGGATTGACATTGACATTTGACGGCTTCGTCATTTATTTGGCTTGTTTCTGGTTTTGCCTTTCTTGATACCTCAATCTCCGCGGCCAAAGGACTAGTGTATTGATTTTCTTTCTCGTATTGGAGTGGAGAGGGACATTGAAGAGGATGGTGAAACTAGGCGGAACGACCATGCTCCGGCTAGACATATGACATTCATTGATGTCAATCTACTTTTATGAAACATTTCTTAGTCCGCCACATCTAATGCCCGTGATTGTCGATCGAGATGTATGAGATCCATTCGCAATGCTTGCTGTACGCCACCCATGCATGTGAACCCGTTGAATCACGAGCTGCCGCCCTACGTCTTGCCGCTGATACCTACCGGCCTATTATCCTGCTGCGTGAATTCCTGAGAGAACAGGCGCTGCCAAACATCAAGCCACTTCTCTTGCTGCGCGGTGGGCAGCTTGCCTGGTTGCTTGAAGGTGCGAGTGAGCAGCTCGCGAAGTCGCGTTCGGAGCACCTTGACAACGAGCATTGTCTTCCAGTCAGGGAGGGCAAAGCGACCCCTGTTGCCGTCTAATACAATCACGCCCGAAAACAGCTGTCGACGATAGTCAGTATGAATGTCATTCTCATAGCGGGCGAACCACTCACGTCGCATCGTACGTCGCCGCAAAGTAGCGCAATAGCAAACGGTTCTACGGCTGTGGCTTCGTGGGCGTGGTAGACACTACATCTGTCAGAGGCGGCCGTTGTCGTTCAGGAGGCTGCTTTGAAACTTACGTCTTGGCTTGCATGATGTGGTAGTATGAGAGCCACTTGATGTCAAGCTGGTTCTTGTTGACGGAAGACGGATGCAGGCTAATTGACTGGTTGTTGCCAATGTTGCGCAGGCCCTTGGTGCCAGGCGTGTCGCGAACGAGAAGCTTAGGGTAGAAGCTCCAGGCAATGACAGATGAAGAGATCGTGTCATTATCGCTATTGATGTTCACCCGCTGAGGCACCTCAAAGAACTGTTGCTGTCTTCGGCCGCGACCTGAGGAGAACCTCACCTTGTTCAACGCACGCCTCTCATCCTCGGTCAACGAGAGGAACCCAGAGTCTGCCACTGAAACGAGCAGCTGCCCCTTTAGGTCTTCGATGTTGGCCAGGTTCTGCTGGCTGAGGAAATTCTTCCGGCAAAACTGGAAATCCTTGCCATAGCCACTGTTGGCCTGACACACTCGCTTCCAAGACAGGTAGGCATTGTAGACTGTCAGGAGGTCCGAGTCCCCTCGGCGCATGAGCATTTTCGCGTTCTGTGCCTGCGCGCGCTGTCCAAAGGGAGCTGTAAACGGCGACTTGGACGAAAGAATAGCCGCGACCGTGAGCGCCATATCCAAGCACTTGAAAACCGATCCCAGAAGTATAAGTTTGCCCAAGAAAACATCCAACGGTAAGCGTGCAAGTTGGTGACCCAAAGGGGTCAGATCCTCTCCCGCAGTTAAAGCACGCACGTCGACCAAGGCATCGATTGCACGTCGGATGTTCTTCGCGGAGGGAGGATCCAGGGCGTCGCCCAACGTCTCTTCTATACCGCCAATTTTGCAAATCTTGACTCTGATGGCCAAGTCTTGCAAGGACAAGCGTAGCATCTCGGGTGTTTGTTGATCGTTCATCAGAGTATCGTGTCTGTGTTTGGTGAACATGTGGAAGCACAGCCCTTGCTGCACTCGACCAGCGCGGCCTCGTCTTTGTTTCGCGTTGGCCCGCGAGATGAAAGTGTCAATCAACCGCGATAGTTGGCGCCTCTCATCGTAGCGCATTTCGCGATGCTTGCCCGTGTCAATGACACAGGTCACGTCGGGAATAGTAATACCAGTCTCGGCAATGTTGGTAGCCAGAACGATCTTTCGCACCCCAGGAGGGGGCACCAAGAAAGCTGATTCCTGATCCTCTGTAGCAATCGTGGAGTGAAGCGGATAAACAAGCCAGTCCCTGGCAAATCGAGGATCGCCAAGTAGCATGTCGTTCAGGGTGCGGATTTCAGCAATTCCAGGTAGGAAGACGAGAATGGCCTTGCTGTAAGGTTGGAGACCTTCAACCGTCGCGATCTTGGCAATAAGCTGGACGACGAGATCTGGATCTATCCGATACTCATCTATCTGCGCCAAAGCCTTGCGCGTGTCTGGTGAGTATCGCGACAGAGATTTGTTGCCTTCAGTTTGCGGCCTATCTCCGTCTCCCTCGACAATCTCTTCATCCAAGTCGACAAACTTGTCGCCGGGCGGCACGTCGGCTGGCTGGAACCCAGTAAGTTCGATCGCGTCCTCGAGATAGCGAACCTCAACAGGAAAGGTACGCCCTGGAACGTTGAGCACCGGTGCGCCTCCAAGGTAGTTTGAGAACCTCTCAGCATCCACTGTAGCTGACATGAGCACTACTTTCAGATCCTTTCGCCTCTCCATGAGCCTCTTCAGGACAATGAGTAGGAAGTCGCTGTCGATGGATCGCTCATGGACCTCATCTAGAACCAGATGTGTCACTTCGTGCAGGTCATTGGAACCCTCAAGCATTCTCATCACGATACCAGTCGTGGCGTAGATCAGACGGGTCTCGCGAGATGTGTTTGATTCGAGACGAATCGAATATCCCACGAGGGACCGGTTAGTGCCCAAGTCGCCACGAGATTCTCCAAGTTCTTCGCTGACACGTTTGGCTAAAGACAGTGCAGAGATACGTCGAGGCTCTGTGCAATAAACTTTGCAAGGCTTTCCTTGCGCAAGCTCGTGCTCCAGTAGGAATGCTGGCACCTGGGTGCTCTTACCGCTGAGACGGCGTTAGCCAAGAAATGTAAGGATAAGTAACGGACGTACCATCCTGTTTCACCACAAACGATCACGACTTGGTTCTGGTCAACAGCTTGAAGAACCTGGTTCTTGAAACCCCACATGGGAAGCTGCATACGACCTTGCTGTATCGTTCGTTAGTATCATCTGTGTCATTTCTCAAATGCAAGAGGCATACCAGCATCTGTTGGAACTTGGCGGTAGAAGATTTATCTGCCCATATCTTCCTGTAGAGATCGGCGTTCGCATTGCTGGACTTGGCTCGGTCTGTGTGTGCATTGTCGCTTGAATCTTGCGCGGTCTTGCCGGCGCCACGACCTCTGAAGGCGCCTTGGAGGATGACACCGTCTTCCAGCTCTTGGTCTCGCCTCTCCCTCACCAAAGCTCTTAAATCCCTGACGACCTCACGGTCTTGGGCCTGCAGATGATCTCGCTTGGCATTCACTTGCTCCTGGAACAGGTCACGCCACGCGGGCGGTAGACGCATCCCTACTTTCTCTTCGCGGGTGTTGCCGCTGAAAATGTGAGCAGCCGCAGCCGTGGCAACATATGCCTCGGACTGCGACGCATCCGGGGTTGCAACACCCACCATTGTGAAAGTGAACCTGTCTGCATCTGCAGCGACTTCCACGTCGCCTCCAGGCACAACAAGTGGCACCTCTTGGGGCTTCGACCATGAGATGTCGACGGCATGGCGGTTGGCGAACGATGCCTCCGAGATCTTGATGTATGAAATCCTCACCGCACCGTCTCGCGACCTGCATGCCTCCTCTAGCACCCGCTTCGGACTCAATCCCGTGAGCTTCCCGAAGTCTTTGATGACAACTCTGATTCCGTCAGCAGACGTTACAACCGTTTGTGACTTTCCGGTTGCCTCGTCGACTTCGGTCTGTGGCAGCGAGGCAAACAAGCCATCTATACCCTCATCTTCCTCGTCGTCTTGAGCTAAGATCTCTGCCGCGATCCGTTGCGCTTCTTCGCTAACGTCACCGTCCTCGGACTCGTCTTTGACCTCATGTTCAGGCTTGTCTTGGGATGTTTCGGGAGATTCGTCTTGAGCAGACTTCAGCTGCTGTTTCGTTGCAGAAATATCTCTCTCCACAGCGACCCTTTGCTTTTTCCATTCCTGTTCGGCCAAGTAGAGGTCGAAAAGCACGTCATCTTCAATCCGCTTGAGTCTAGCCTCGGCCTTGGCTATCGCGAGCTCCTGATCATCGTTGTCGCTGCTTGCAGTTGTGTATCCGCGCTCGAGCTCAAGCAATTTCCGCTTCGTAGCAAGGTATTCCGGTTGTAAATTGTCGGGCTCAATATCACTATCGCAAGTGACAACGAGCTTCTTGGCAGATAACGCCTTAGTTTTGGAGCGCCCATTTGCCTTCCCCTTCCCCTGAGCGCCACTGGGTCGCGGAGTACTTGGCCGAGTGGACGTAGGCGTGTCACTGGGTGTGTCTGAAGGAGGTCAGCTACTGGCATGGGACCCAGACCGAGCGTGGCATACCTTTTGCAACAGGCTTAGGTCTGCTCTCGTATGCTGGAAGTTCTGCAGCATCGCATTCTCTGGCCAGCCACTCAAGCGCCTCTTCCAAACCCCAAACGAGGTCTTTTCCGGCGACAGAGACGTTGGGAGCAATATCTATGATATACTTGACCACCGCTGCGACTCGCGACTGTGGGAAACCGGTGGCTTGCAGAGTTTGCTGGAGAGTCCATAACCGAATGATCATATCTTCTTCCGAGGGCATTTTACTATTTCCCGAGGCTTCAGGTACTATGCTCGATGCCGCGAATCGGCTCTCAGCCTGGATAATTTCCAGTATGTGGCCCATGAGATCTTCAGGCAGCCATTTCGGGCAGTTGACGGAATCTCCATTGCCACGCAAGAGTCGACGATCCGTCTCAAGCCGAGATTGCTGTCGCTGAGCATCGCGTTTGACCTTCTGCGCATGTTTCTCGACCAAGAGTTGCAGCTCAGACTCCTCTAGCTGTCTCTCAAACTCCTCTGGACTCAAAGACTGTTCCTTGGGGGCATCGGGCTTGGATGCGTTCCCAACGACAGCTGCTGGTGCCGCTGATGATGGTGGGGCACTGTCGCCTTTTGATGGAGGGGCAACATTCTGTTGTTTGGGTTCTTCATTCTCTGGTCGCGGTTTAGACGCGATGGACGTTGTTGCGAAACCTCGCGCAGGATTGGCAGCGGGCTTCTTCTTCTTTTTGGTACCCGCCATGCTCACACGCGAGATACAGGGTGTAAGGGGGTCGAGGCTGGAGCAGGGGACGGAATGAGTTGACGAGTCTTTCTCCAGTGGATTCGATGTGAGAACGGCACACCCACCCTGGCCTGTCCGTCCGTCTGTCTGACTGTGAGGTTACGGCTGCCCACGTTAAAAATTATAGCGGGGCACTCGCAGACTAGTGGGGTCACCGCCCGCCGACCTTCTTCCAAGCTGTTAACTTGCAATTCAGGCCAGTGTCTATTTTCCAAAAGCCAGCGAGCGCCACAAGATCCCTTCTCGACGTTGTCCTTCGCTTCAAGATCCCTTCGAAAGTGCTGTGCATGCCAAGTCTCCGTTCTCTGGCAACTGGCGCGGCTTAGACGACCGACTCGGAACGCCTGCAACTTTCGTTGGCCCCCCATGATTCCTCGATCCTCTCAATAAACGCCTTTGCTCGCAATGTCCGAAGAAGAGACCACAAGCAGGGCCACTGGGCCCGAAATCAACATCGCCAAGGCTGCTATATCAATTGCTTCTTCATCGACATCCCTGCGCATCGGGCAGCTGCATGCCATCAACGAAGCTTTGGCCAGCCGCAGTAAGTTTCAAGTACTCGTTGAGCTTGGCCGAAGGCTAATGCATCTTGTCCTCCAGGTGTTGAGCCCTCCTCGATATCGCAAATAGTCCAGCTTCTGATTGCGACGATCCCCCTCTACACCGACCGAGAGTCGAGGTTGGCGGTACAGACATGTCTTGCAACGCTAGTCAACAATGGCATTGAGCCGGAACTCTTGGGAAGCGTTACCAAGTACATTCGGGGTGAAGCCCAGAAGCCCGCAATAGCTGTGTCCAACTCATTTGTGCTCGTCGAGTGGTGCAGTCTGCTGATGCAGAATCTTGCTGGTACACCGTTGTGGGAGAACGTCGCTAGTGATATCCTTATCTGCATCGCTGATTCCTTCGAGCGTTGCGTGCGGCCAAATTCGAAACGAAGTGTCGCAAACTCTGCTACCCTGGTCACTAGGAGAGGTTTCAGGAAATTGTTCAAGACTGAGAGCAACCGGGAGAAGACACTGAACGATGCCATGTCAATACTGGCAAGCAAGGCCAGCCACCCGATCGCCAAAAACTCACCTCTGCTCGGTCTCATAGCCGGGGTCTCTGCACGCATTGGAGAGATGAAGCCTCTGCTGGAATCCCACAAACCACAATACTACGAATTCTATACGCGGGAGGTTGTTGGTTCCAAAGTTGCCGTCGAACGACATGTGGCGTCGGGGTTACGGGACTTCTTCACCGAGTTCTCTACGCTTGAAGAGATTGAAAAGCAAGTGGTTACGACCCTGGAGAAAGGCCTGTTGCGCGCGCCTGAGATCATCCTCACCGGCGTTCTTAGGCCTCTTGTAGCCTCTCTGCCGAAGAGCTATGATCTCTCCAAGATCCTCAAGGAAAGACTATTGAAGCCGCTCTTGTCTAGCATCAAGTCAAGCAATGTTCAAGTCCGCACAGGGGCAGTTGGCTCCTTCAAGGATCTCGTGTCACGGTCGCATGATGAAGCCCTTCTGCAGGCCATAGTTGAGGAGGTCCTGAATCCTCTTAAAGGGGGAAAGCTATCAGCCGCGGACCACCGAGTCCTGCACGCAGAGATGTTGGAAGGTATCACCTTGCCACAAGCGTCTGCCCTTGTAGTTGCCACTGGCCTTGCTGCTGTCGCTGCGAAGGAGGGCAATGAACCAGCTTTGAGCGCCGAAACATCAGCTCTTGCACGAGCGCTGTCGCAGATTCTGAACCAAGAAGTAGAGATACCTAAACCGGTTTTCGATACTTTGGCCAAGGGCTTGTCCGACAAGAAGCCGAATTCTCGGAGGCTATGGCTTTTATTGGTTGCCAACATACTTGAGTCAGGGTCAAGCACTGGTTTCACCGCTGGGCAGCTAAAGTTTGCCGAGGCGGTCGTGCCTAAGCTCGTCGCCAACTTTGAGGATGTCGCAGGCAACCCTGTGGTTGCTGTTCAGAATGGTATCGCCGTTGGCGCATTCATCCTGACCGCTCTTGCGCCGCGTCTGCAGAAAGACATGCCTGCTGAGGCGTCTAAACAGCTACTTGCAAAAGTCGCTGTCACTCAAGAGGGGCTCTCATCTGGGGGAAAACAAGGATTCCTGCTCAATCATCGCATCTTCACAAAGCTAGCCGGCGAGACCGACTTGCATTGGTTTTCGTGCGCCCTTTCGAGCATTGCTCTGTTCCTCAGCGAGCAGCAAAGCAAAGACCTGCTTTTGGCGTGGGCCGAAGCTGAGATCTTCACAATAGCAGGCCAAGCCGTCCCGTCTCGCACACAGCAAGACAGTGCGAGAGTCTTGGCCACTATCTACGCCAGTTCACCAGCCGTTGTTGGTACTGCTATTATCGACGGGCTGTGGAGTTGCGCGCTGCACCCAGCGACTAAGGACAAAGACCTACGACTGGACCCAGACAGCCTGAATCAAGTCTTCAAGTCAATATGCCCCGAGCCCAGCGGGGATGGCCCGGATGCCATCTCTTCTGAGGTCAATGAGTCACAAGCTTGCTCCATGCTGGTGATTGCAAGGCCTGAGCTTGTGCCACGCTGTAGTTGGATCGCCTTGTGCTTGCGCATGGGCATAGACCCAGGAGACCTTGTTCAGAAGCACAAGGATCAGGTGATGGCAGAGGTTGAGAAGTGGGCATCCGATGCGTTCAGGCTGGCTCGAGCGGCCGCTTTCAGCGCTGCTGCTGAGTTGGCGTTTGTCGCCCCTGATATCATCGTACCTCGCTTAATCGAGCTCGTCGGCGCTGACCTTGATGCCTCTCAGCTAGCCGGCGTGGGGCCAATGGAAGCCGCCATCTTCCGCACGCCTGGGGGAACTTGCTTTGTGGATGTCCTGGCCAAAAAGTCTCAAAATACTGTGCCGAACAAGAACCAAAAGGATTACGACATCCTGAAATGGGAAGAGGAGCTTAGAGGCCAGCTAGAAAAGAAGAAGGGCCAGCAACGAAAACTAACAGCTGAGGAGACCAGCAAGGTCAATGCTCAACTCAAGAAGGAGGAGGGTATCCGAAACGCGCTTCGAGCTACAGCATCTCGTATCTTGCGCGGCCTGGGGATCATCAAGGCCCTCGCCACTGGCCCGCCGACAGAAGCAAGTTCGTGGGTTGGTGTCTCTACTCGCCTTCTTCTCAACGTTCTCGATGCAGGAGCCGGTCTCATTGTGGGTGATGTTCCCGCAGACACTTATCTGGCTATAGCAGATAAGACTGCCTCTCGCCTCGGAGCACTACGCCAATCTATTGCCCTAGCAACTCTCCGACTGCGGGAAATTCCCCTGTCCGACAATTTTATTCAAGAGCCCCTCGAGGACCTGGTCACACGAGTGCTATATCGTCTGCGCTTCGCCGGCGAACAGAGGCCTTTTGATGCCGTGACCCTGACGTACGCACTGCCACTTCTGTTCGATGTTCTTCATCGAGGTGGCACTGGTGAGGATGCGGATGATCGTGACGTACAGGTCGTTCTGGCCTTTGAAGTCATCTCTTTCCATACCAACGTCTGTGCCGAAAATTCGGTGCCGCGCGGCGACATCTTCACTGCCCTGATATCATCAATGCAACAGTATACGCAACATTACAAGATGATAAGGGACTGCTTCACCGACTTGGTTCGCTGTGTCGCGCCCAATATCACTCAAGACGAGGTGAAGATCCTGGTCAAGGGCACGATTGTCCCGCAAAGCGCAGTTCGCACGACAGTGCTACAGTCGATCAGTGCCGAGGTTGATGTGAGCGATTTTGGCTACTCGGACGAGCTGTGGTTAGCATGCCATGATGACGAAGAAGAGAACCAGGAGCTGGGCCGCGAGATCTGGGCAGAGTGCGATGTGGAGATCGACGAAGACGTGTCAAACAAGATGCTGCCTTACCTGCAATCCAAGGACAACCAACTTCGACGTGCTGCTGCGAGGTCCATTGCAGAGGCAACATCTCTGCACCCTGATACCTTGGATACCCTTCTCTCCAATCTCAAGTCAGCGTACCAGGAATTGGCGGAACCCAAGAAACAGGAGCTCGATGAGTTCGGAATGCCTAAGAAAATGGACTTGGCTGATCCTTGGGAGGCCAGGCAAGGAATTGCTACTGCTTTCAAGGAGCTTGCTCCATTATTGACCGCCACGCAACTCAGCATTCTCTTCGACTTCATGATCAGCAACGGCCCTCTTGGCGATAGGGATGCCAAGGTGCGATCTGAGATGCTCGAAGCCGCCATTCGTGCCATTGAGCTCCATGGCAAGTCATCCGTCGACGAGCTCATGGACAAGTTCGAATCGACTCTCGAGGGCACGGACAAGGCGAGCCACGAAGGCGATCTCGTGAACGAGGCCGTGATCATCATGTATGGTGCACTTGCCCGACATTTGGCCGCGGGTGACTCTGAGATACCCGTTGTCATCGACCGGCTCCTCGCTACTCTGAGTACCCCCTCAGAGACTGTTCAGTCTGCCATTGCCGATTGTCTGCCTCCACTTGTCAGGGCTTGTTCAGACAAGTCTGGGAAATATTTTGAGCAGATTGTCGACCAACTTTTGAATTCCAAAAAGTACGCAACGCAGCGAGGAGCGGCGTATGGTTTGGCTGGTCTGGTGCAAGGGCGCGGCATCGCATCATTGCGCGAGTATCGAGTTCTCTCTACGTTCAAGAGTGCTCTAGAGAACAAGAAAGATGCTCATCAGAGAGAGGCTTCTTTGCTTGCTTTCGAGCTGCTGGCGACCATTCTTGGAAGACTCTTCGAGCCTTACGTTATCCAGATTGTGCCCCAACTTCTTGCAGGGTTCGGAGACGCCAATGGTGACGTCCGAGACGCATGTTTGGCTGCTGCCAAGGCTTGCTTCGGGAACCTGAGTTCATATGGTGTGAAGCAGATTATGCCAACGCTCCTGAACGGGTTGGATGAGGACCAGTGGCGTAGCAAACGCGGTGCTTGCGAGCTTCTTGGTGCCATG